ATAACAAAATTTACGTGTTTAAATTTCTATTTTTAAAATATAAATATGCATGTTATATTTTAATTTATTTTGTAGGGATATATTTTTTCACACGTAATTATCAATATTATTGACAACTAATTTTAAACATCTTTTTATAACTTCCAATTTACTTCTTGAGGTTATCAATATTATAACTTCCATTAAAATGTACCTACTTTCAAAAAAGTAGAAAATTTATTGGCAGCTAAACACCATGGCCAAATTAATAACGTTTGAAACGTTGCCACTTTGGGTTTCTTACTATTTTTGCTATCCCTCTTTATAGCAATATAACCAATAAATTCCCAATAACGACTAAAGGAAGATGGTGAAGCTTCAATGTGGTGGATATGATGAATGAATATCTGACAACTGCAAGAAGAAACATATCTTACAAAAAGTTAAAGTAAAAACACTCTCATGCTGTAAATTAAGCTCTTAAATAGGAAACATTCAGTCAATTTCTTCTGCTCTCTTCTATTCTATTCCTTTGTCCTTCGGTGTATATGTGAGAATTGTATTTATAGAATCGTACTATTGGTGTAGTAGTGATCCGTCAGAGCAATACATATTGTTGAACAAGACACTCAGACATTTATTAAGCATACACATATTGTAAATATAGCTACAGCATTGCATCTTCTAAATGTACTTGGTGAAAGTAAAATTAAAAATAAAAATAAAAATAGAGTGAATGGTAATGAAGGAAAGGACGATTGGTAGATATTGATGATATTTGAGGAACAACAAGTATAACACTTGTTAAACAAGTTTTATTAATTATTAAAAATATTTTAATAATAGTTTCATTTAAAAAAAAATTGAACCAAATGTTAAATAGCATTTGCATTAAAAAATATGCACAAAGGCTTCAACCTCATACCAAAACCCTATTAACTTGGGATGCCCATGTGTTTCTGCAAGTTGCCTGAAAACACGGGCATACGCCAATTGAATCAGTGCAATTATTTTAAAGACATTAATGTGACAATATTGATACAATATTTGTAGTACATACACCACCCAATTAACCGTGTGAAAAAGGAAGGCTATTAATAATACTATTTTGATCATCATCAATTCCTCTCTATTTCCTGCATCTATGATCATCCAACACCTTAACCAATGGCGGGTAAGTAGCAAAATATCAATAGAGATAAGGCCAATTTTCTTGTTCAAATACTACAATTTATTGTAATTATTGCACCGTTTTTAAATTTTTAATAAAATGTTTAATCTTTACAAATTCATAAGAATTTAAAACTAATAAAGATCTACATATATAATTACTTAACAATATATTTGTCTACAAAATAAAAAAAATTATATAAAAATGTATAAATATATTTTTATATCATTTTATATTTATCAATTGTTTTAACAATAAATTTTATCAAACACTTTTAATTTATTAGGCTAGGTTATAAACTTCCAATTCTCAAGGTTACAAGCTTTAAGCTAACATATATTTTAGTTTTGTCAAGAACAGTCGAAAATGTTTTCTTTTGAGTCTCCCAATGTAGTTTTGGACATATTTATCATTTCGATTTCAAATCTTATTTTTGTTTATCTGTTCAGGAAAAAAAAGCATTGTTGTTTATTTATTCATTCATGTGGAAAGTTTAAATAATATTAATTACTATTTCTTCATTAACATAATTTCCTCTATATAAAATATTTAAATTAATTGAATTATCGAATTAGGAGTAAAAAACCTCACTAATTAAAGACAAATTAATATGTTTAGCAATTAACTGTAATGAAATGATTAATTTTTTAAGACAGATAAATAAATAAATAAATAAACTATTAAACATTGTATTATGTTTATAAGTCAATAAATTTGGTTCCATCACATGCCTCAAAATTTATGGGGACCTCAATATATCCAAAATGATCACATTAGCCTTTGTTGCATGCCCAAGGTTAAGACCCCAATAAATCTTTGCAATTGGGTGTCTTGGTAGTTAATATAGCAAAACATGTATAGCTTTTGGCCATCACTGTCTCTGCTGGTTTCATTGTCACACTCTTCTCCCAGCCACTACCTTCAAACTTTGCCTTTCATTTTCAAGCTCCCAGTTTTGTCCTCCACGCCCCCAAAACAGTTCCCATGCCGACTACCCTTCTCTTCTAAATATTGTGCATCATAGTGCTCCACGTGTTGAATCAAATTATGTTACCACTGGAAACTTCTGCAAGGGAATTTGTGGAGAAGGTAAAGAAAAAAAATTATGTGTTGTTTTAAGAGTTATTTATGTTCTTTATCAATTAAAATTAAAGTTTTGTTTTAATAAAAAAAATCATACTTGATTATTGTAAATTATAAAAGTAAAATTTTAATTGAATAACATAAAAGAAACAGTTATAGAAATGCTCCTAAATTTCATCTAAAGGAAAACAGCAATGGAGTTGACAAGAGGGAGGGGCTCTCCCTAGCTATTAGCTAACACCTTAAAACTCGTAGTATTATAAGAATATGAAACGACAATAATGTAGGTGTCATTTTCTACATGTTAGTAGTACATCACTTTATCACTACCACTACAATTTTAACATGCTCAGTAAATTACTTCCTTTTCCTAAGTCCTTTTCCAAAACAGGATTTGATTCCTATTCTTCCACACCCAATGGTGGCACTCAAATTAGACTTTCTCTTATATTCTAATTAACACAGGTAAAATAAATCACACACTGTACTGATCACTTCTTTGTATTGTGATCGATTTAACGTTATATAGGTGTTACAAGAATAAATAAATAAATTATTATTATTATAAATAAATATATTAATATAAATATGATTTGTTAATTTGAATTCCAAGAGTTGGGATTAGGTATTTAAAAGCAGTCAATTTTTAATTTAAATAAAAATGTTTATTATATTAGAAATAAATATTGTCTTTTTATTTATTATTACTATTATTGGTTGCTTAAAATTCAGTCTTTAGTTGATTAAATTTGGTCCTTTTTATAAAAAAAAAAATAACTGTAATTTTTTTCGTTTTAATTATAAAAAATATTTTTAGATGCATTAATTGCTACATTTATTTTATATTCTTGTTTATTGTAAAATTTGTATTAAAGAGACATTTTACCTGTATAAGTGAATACTCCATATTCATTTATTTATTATTAGTTATCGATTTGATTATTTATTATTATGGATATTTTTAAAATATAATATAAATTTATGATGTATAAGTATTTATTTATTTTTAGTTTATCATTTCAACCTTTAAAATTGAGTTTAAGCACTTTATTAATGATAAATTTTTATTCTCTGAACACTAAATAGTTTTTTCTTTAAGAAGAAATTAATTTTTTTCTTATTATAAAATGCTCGTTTTCACTTCATTTTCGTTGACAGACTTGATTAAGATTAAGTTGTGGTTGTTCACACACACACACACATATTAATTTTCTATATTGATGAATATGAGTGTAGGGTTAAATTAAACATTGAAGGTTCAAGTATGGTCTGTTAAGAAAAAATATTACATTTAAGCATGATTTAAATTTAAAACTTAGTATAAACTTATAAAAAAGTATGAAGGTTGAACTTAATTTGTTTAGCTCATTTATAATTTGTCTTGCAAAATAAAGTTTTAATTTATTTGTTTCTTATAACATACAAACTTAATCAAAAAATTGAAGTTTAAAAAATTTACAAATAACTCAACCAATTTATAATTACTAATTAAATTGTCTGCAATATTTTTTTTTCTAGTAATTGCAATTCCATTAGACAAAACTTACATTGATAAAATAATTGTATATCGATATACATTTGTAGCGAAATATATATTGATTGTCAAGCCACTGCTCCAATAACAATCTACAATACGTGTATGTTTGATCAAATACCAGAATTAATTTCTTTGACCATAACATACATTTCAATATAAAATTTATGATTAAAATTAATTTATAATTTGATGTTTTATTAAAATTAGTTTTATTTAACTTTAAAACAGAGTAAATGTATTGCATTAGAAATTAAAACTGAATTAGTCACGTGTGTGAGAGAAGTATGAGTAGAACTGATTTTGAAATTATCAAATTGAGACACCAAAATCAATATTGCATTTGATATTTTGTTGACTGATGAGACAGAAGTGAAGGGAGAATGGTAGAATTAACAGTATGATTATGTGTGCAAAATGTAACAATCTCTAAACACGCCCACCCAAGCAAATGCCGGGAGGTAGGAAGAATAAACAACTAAATTCTCATTTTACTTACTATTACGAGGGACTAATTAATATTATACACAAATTAATCAAATTCACACTTAAGTATATTAAATATATTCATTTACTCTTGTATTTCTTTTAGATCTTGCTAATCAGTGTATTAAGAGAACTGGTTAAAAATTAAAAGAATTTTTTAATTAAAAATCACTTTAAAATGCATTAAGAAATTTTGTAGCAGTATATTGCCTAAAACACTTTTTAGGCACATTAATATATTTTTTGTCTTCTTATAGAAAACAATTATCACTAATTTTGATATATAACTATTTTTTATTATTTCAGTAATACTTTTGTATATTTATAAAATTCTATTTTAATTTCTTACTCAATACCGTTAGCATTTATTATTAAAAAAAAAAAAAAAGATAAAATGTTGTAACATGAGCCAGAACTTATTAACTTAGGAGAGAAGTACTTGGTTGAAGCAAAGGAAGTGAAAGAGTGACCAAAGTTAAAAATAACAGAATGTTCTCCTCTCTCTCTCTCTCTCCTTCTTCTCCCTTTTATGAAGTTTGTGTGTGGTGGTGCAACAAACACAAACTCTATATCCTTGGAGACAACATGCAAGTCTAATCTCTGACTCTACCTTTGCCTTTCCCTTTCGCCTTTAATTGGCTTGCAGGGGGTAATTTCTTGACTTTCCACACACTTTGGCTTTCTAATTCTTTTACCTTGAAACTTACTTACATGGCTCTCCATTCCCCCACATAATATACATCTTCTCTTTCTCTTTCTCTCTCTCTCTCACACACACAAACACATGCACTCAATATTCTTATATATCACCAAAGAACCGAACCATATATCACCAAATTGCCTTTCTCCCACACCAAACATTGTTCACTATGACAGATCCTCACTCCAATTTATTCCATGAATGGTTCAACTTCATGCTCCTTCACCCTCACTACTATTCTTCTTCCCAACCCTACCCTCTTGGTAATTACTCAAACAACAGGTTTGGAATTCAATTACATGAAGCCTCATCGTCCTCTTATGCAGCTCCTCCTCCTCCTTCTCCTCCTCTAAGAGAGGCCCTTCCTCTCATAAACAAGATAAGCCTCCCAAATCAGCAGCAAAATGAACCCTCAAACATTATAGAAGCTGAGAACAACAAAGATGAGAGTCTCTTGCAATTGACTGCTACTGCTGAAGAAGGTGATGATGAAACTGTGACAGTTGCCCTACACATAGGGCTTCCAAGAATGGATACTTCTTCTTCTGATCTGGGCTCATCAAGGGTGGTCTCAACTTGTATGGAAATGGGTGAAAAAGAGGAAGTAAACATCATTTCTGAACAACCTTTGGATAGATTGAACAAGGGTCAGTATTGGATTCCCACCCCTTCTCAAATTCTCATTGGTCCTACACAGTTCCCATGTCCTGTGTGCTCTAAAACTTTCAACAGATACAATAATCTTCAGGTACTGTCCTCTCATTTAGATAAATAAAAAAGCACTTTGATTTTTCCCCTTTTGTGTCTGTACTTTTTTTCCCCCTTGTTTATAAAATAAAATGTCCTTAATTATAATATTTTCTTAATTTTAACATTGAATCAGAAGATAGGTCCCTACTTTTGTGTTTCATCATTTTGGTTTGCTGTATATCCCTTTTGCATGGTCTTGTTTTGTTTTTTTCTTCTTTGTTTCATGTATATCTGAACGTGGCTATATGGTCTCAGACTCAGTGGTGTCCTTAATTAAGTTTTGTTTTCTTTGACAACTTGAAGTCTCTTCCTTCTGCTTTTATGTCACCTAGAACATTGTGCTGCACCAGACTGCAAATGAATGAAAAGTAGAACAAATTATTGATAACAATGCTTCTCTCAGGATTGATTCAGATGTTCCTCTTCAAAAGCCTGAAATCACTACAGCCTTTTCAAAGCACTGCAAAGCAAACAGTAAAAAAAGAAAGGGTTATTGATAACTTGTCTGTGATGAGATCATTTTCTCAGGTGTCTTAACACTGAAGAGCCAGTCCCACATACCCCATATATAATTAAGTAGAAGTAAGAAGACATAGTTTGATATCTGAAGTGAACCTTTTTGTGCAAATTGGCTTTTTGTACAAATTGTACGAACTTTTAGTTACTGTTAACTTGTCATCTTATTGTTGAAATTAGAAATTTAATTAATCTGGAACGCTATGTTAATTAATTACCTTTCAATTTGTCTAGCTCGCTCTTTTTATTTTACTTTATTTTTATCATATTGCCTTCCGAATTTGCATATGAATGAATACAACGGAGAAGCCAAAAAAATATGGGTTCCATTCGCGTTGTACCTGTCTTCAGTCTTATGGTAATCACTAGATGGTTTCACTAGTCATCTATATATACACACTTTCTAGGGAACTTTGGAAGTATTATAGCCTAAGCATATGTTTCAGTGAAACTCAAATATATATACATGCACCTTAACTACTCATTCTGAAAATTTAATTTAAAATTTCATAACTGATGAGCATGGAAAGATGAAGTTCCAGCAGATTATATACAATTTGGTTCTGGAGTGCACACTCATTACTATTAATTCTGTTTAATTAAGAGTATGTTTAGAAGTAGAATTTTAAATTGAAAGAAAGTTGATAATTTTTCATTTTTAATAAATATTCTTTATCATAATTTGATGTTTTCAATTTTATAAATATTATCCCACTCTCTTACTTTAACGATAAAATATTTTCCTATTCCTTTTTTCTTTTTCAAAACTCAACTTCCAAACATATCCTAAACTAAGTTTGATTTCATGGCTTAATTTTCAGATGCATATGTGGGGACATGGATCTCAATACAGAAAGGGGCCTGATTCTCTGAAAGGAACACAACCAACAGCTATGCTAAGGCTTCCATGCTTTTGTTGTGCACCAGGTTGCAAGCACAACATTGACCACCCAAGAGCAAGGCCTCTCAAGGATTTCAGAACCCTTCAAACACATTATAAGAGAAAGCATGGCATAAAACCCTACATGTGTAGAAAATGTAGCAAAGCATTTGCAGTGAAAGGTGATTGGAGGACACATGAGAAGAACTGTGGCAAAGTATGGTATTGTTTATGTGGGTCTGATTTCAAGCACAAGAGGTCCCTAAAAGACCACATCAAAGCCTTTGGTTATGGTCACGGGGCTTTTGGCATTGATTGCTTGCAAGAAGAAGATGAAGCTGCCTCCGAAATTGAACATGATGGGGAAAGTTCATTGTGAAAGTTGAAAAATTACAAAAATTTGAGGTGAACTCTTATCTAATATCGCATACATATTATGCTTGTAAAATAAGTTGTCTAATGAGGAGTTTCGTATTGACTTAAGTGTCTATTTATTTTTTTCAGTTTTACATTTTATAAGCTATGTGGGTTGCTATCTTCATTTTACTTAGCATTGTGTACTATTTTAATTATGATCCGCTTCCTTCTCCTTTTTCTTCATGTGGTCCAGTGTACCATGTTTCAACGTAGTTAATGCACCCATTCTTGGGAATATATATAAATGTACAGTTTATTTCTAGGGTTTGTGTAGAATTCCAATGAACAAAATCACCGTAGTAGCGTGAATTAGTACCTTTTTGGAATAAATCTCTCATGATTTTTATATGATTCCATGACGTGAAAAATTGTGTTCATTGAGCTCCATTAAAATTTTATAAATTTTAATATAAGAGCAAATGTTTGGGATGGTTTTCTCTTACGTAAAATAATAGTTTATTTTTAAAGTGCTTAAATAAGTAATTATTTTTTAAATATGTTAAATTAAACAAGCACTGCTTATTTAATCTCTATAAAAAATAAAAGACATATTTTCTCATCATTTGATCATTTCACAAGATAAACTCGATTTCCCTACCCTTTTAGTGAGCAGAATTCAAACATTGCCGTAGAGGAAAGTAATACTTTATAGTTAGAACGGTACATCATGTACTTGCATATATAGTCAACCGCAGCACCTTGCCTCAGAAGAGTTAGTAAATTCAAAGCTGTGCAATGACTAAGGAGAGAACTCGAAACAGGAGAAACTAAACTTACGTGCCAAATTAAAACTGTGGTATTGATCTTTAATCAAAATACAATACATATAGTATAAACTATAATATTTGATTATTGATTCCAAGACTTCAAGTTATCAAGATAAAATTGATAAATACATTGAAAATCGATAATGGTTAATACCCAACTAATTTTAATTGTAGAATAATATTATATTATCAATATCGATTATATTATATCCACATTAATTTCGTTTTCATAACTAATTTCTTCGAGATTTTGGCTGAGCGAACTTAAAAAAATAACTTGATTTTTTTTCTATATATAAAAGAATGATAGCAACACAACGTTATTATTATTTTTAAAAAATAAATTTATTTATTGCATAAACATATTGATTTTAAAAGATATATTAATTTTTAGAGAACAAAATAATAAGAGAGAGTATTTAAAAAAATGTTGTTAATATATGTTTATTTTAATTTAAGGTTAAATATATTTTTAGTCTCTTTAAAATTATTAAATGTTAATTTTGGTCACTGATTAATTTTTTTTAGTCCTTACAAATTATTAAATCATGCGCTTTTAATTCTTGACGAGGGACCAAAAATACATTAAAATTGTTAAATATAAAGATTAAAAATGAATAAATCTTAATTATTATCTAAAATTAAAAGTTAATAATCTTAGAAAAATTAAAACATACTTAACACTTTACTTTATTATGTGATTTCCAATTTTAAAACGTTGAAACGTGGTAGAAAATGAACTAGTAAGGCTTATTAGGTTACGCATTCCTCTCACCCAGCAAGATTAGTAGATCACCAAGTTAAACCCAATCACCACTTGTTTTGAATAGGCAACCTCTTACAGTAATGCCAAGAATTTTAACATAGTTATATAAGTAAATAACATAGTAAGTTAAAAGATCACCAAGAGAAGAACTAAATAAAAATAATAAATAATTTTAAAAAATTAAAATAAAATTTTAAAAAATTGCGATTTTTTAAAGATCCAAACTTTATTTAAGATAAATTTCAATATTTCGTGGTGGAAGGTTTGCCATGACGATGAACACGTACAGTTGAAAGAGGGAAATGCAAGGCAGAACAAATCTTAAGGAGTGTTGATTCAGAGAAAGGAGCATTCTGATGTCTTCTACGTTGTACTGCGCTTGTTTGCTTCTGAAAAGGTTATTACATTCTTAGCCTTTACGTAGTGTCGGTTTACTGTGTGTAGATACCCTAATGTGGAACAGATTCTCTTCCGTCCAAAAATGGTGCAATTGATCATATAGTTTAATAATATATATCATTTGATCTTCATCTAATTGCTCATTAAATCTTGAATAAACGAAGAGTAATTAAGGATTCTTTACATTGAACTGTACCATTTTTTAATCAGAGAGATTACAGATCACCCCACGACACACTGAAATGTTATAGTTCCAATCAGATTTGAAGTGTTGCACTGTTTTGATTCTTTTAAAGTAAACCAACGAGGAAAGTGAGAAAGTAATGGTGCAGATAAAATATTCCTTTCGCACTTTATCCAATTTTTTTTATTATTATTTAAAGGTGCTTAATTCTGTTTTGCTACGTGACTGTTCTTATGATTTTGATGCAAGGCAAATAGAAAAATAAAAACTGTTAAGATGAGTCTCGGAAGTTTGGAAGAGAGTGTGAGCTTTAATGTTTGAATAGCTATTTGCCTAAAATATTGTAGGCAGTTAATTTAGAGATATTTTCTTATATGTTCTTTAATTTCTTGTTAACTTATTTATTGTTTTAACACCCCTTGTTAAGTCTAATCAACCAACTTTAACTTAATAGTAACTATTCTTTTAATTTTAATGCAAAAACCACATATGCCAGACAGAAAAAAAATGAAAAATATATGTCAAGATGACCCTAATCCAAAAATTTCGGAGACAACATGAATTTTAAAGTTTAAGTAGCTCACTTGCCTAAAATGTCTTAAGTAATTTAAAAACACCCTCTTACTTATATAAATATTGATTTGTTGTTAATTTAATAATGTGATATTTTATTGTCTTAACACATCTCATCAAGTATAACTAACTAATTTTGACTTAATAGTGACTTGTACTTTTTTTATTTTTTATAACTTGAACTTATACTTCAAATTTGGGTCTCTATCTTAAGGCTTATTTTTCTTTTTATTGCTAATTTCTTTAATGTCATAGGCCTAATAATTATATTTTTATTTTTCTTGAACTTTTTTAAAATTTGGGCATTTCATGTTTTTACCCAAACTCTGATTTATATTAGGATTTTGAATGTGAATCTAATCCAAGAGTTTGAGGCAAAGTGTGTGCCTTATTATCTTAACACTTTTTCAACTAGCTTTGATCTAAACTTAACTTGTATTTCTTTTATTTTTGTGATCCTAGGATTGTACTTAAAGTTTGAGTCTATAACTCAAATCTTATTTTTTTTGTTATCCCTATTTTATTTTATTTTTTAAGTGAGCTTTGAAACTATATTAATATTTTGAATATGAGTCCAATTAAAAGTTTGGAGGAGAGTGTGAGCTTTAAGTTTGAATGCCATACTTATCTAATGTTTACACAATTTAGAGTCATGCATAGTCCTCTTATATGTTCTTTAATTTGTTGTTGATCAATTTATTATCTTAACAATGAACAATTAAAATAGATAACTAAAAGTTGTTTTTTGATTTTTATTTGCATATATATAATAAAAATATACGAAATAATAAATAATTATACAAAATATTATATACAATTTAATTTTTAAACATTTAAATAATAAACTTTTTTTAAAAAAAGACAAGCGAGATATTAGGATCTTTTACACTTTACCTTTGGAAAGCATATATAAAATGAAACATCATAGGTATCACTTGATAAATTTTTCTTTCCTTTAAGGATATTTATTTTAATTTAATTTAAATATACTAATAGTATGAAAAAATTTATACCGTTAATTCATCATAAATTGCCATATTAAAAAGAATTATTAATTTATATAATCGAACTTAATTTAAATACATTGATAGTGTAAATATTTTTATATTATCACTTAATTATAAATTATTGTATTAACAGAAATTCTTGATTTTTATAATAATTAATATAAAAAATTAAGTGATAATTAATTATAAATTATTGTACATTTTAATTCATTGACAATGCAAAATTTAAATATTATTATTATAGAAATAATGAAAAATAATGAGCAAACAGATCAAATTCAAAATCTACATCTCAAATTGTGGCGCAAATTTTAACTTTAAATTTGAGATATTATTGCCCGATCAGAACACAATTATTCTCCAATCCTTAACCAACAATATATGCTTAAATTAGTAAAAATATTTCTATTAAGTGAGCCACACATTCTAACATTGTCATTATTATACATATCATGTTATTTTCATTTTTATCTAGACCAAACATGGCTAATAAATAGTTAGAAATCACAAATTAATTAAATTTAAAATTTTGTAATGAAAATTAACTCACTGCTAATAAATAATTTTTCTTCAACACTCGAATGAGAGTTCTAGCATTCATTATGAGCAAGTGCAACATCCATCCAAAATTGCTGAGATCGTGGAACTAAGGCTTTTTGTCGATGTTGCTTCAAAGGTTTGATTCTTATTTAATCAAACATCCAAGAGGATTATAAAATAAATTGTTTCCAAATATTTTCAATTAAGCATCGTGTGGTGACTTTGCATTTAAGAATGTCTTATCTCACTACAATGAGCAGTTTGAAAAGTAGCTCCAAATCAACAAATTCTGATTTTCAGCGTCAACATGCAGATAATGGCATGTTATATAGGTTTTGTGATCTTCCCAACCCAAGTTTCAAGCACTAAATTTACTTGTTTCTTTGATTACTTTGACTGTTGAGATGGTTTTGATAGAATATGAAGATTTGGTTGGGGGCTAATTCCAAAGGCATGCTACCAATAAAAAGAGCAAAAATTGATCTTGCTTTTGATGTTCCTCTAACAAATAGAGACTATTCTGTTTGAAGAAATACAAACATTTCTTATATTAGCTTAGTCTCACCCCAAAATTCATCACATACTCTCTATAATGATCCTGGTTTTGAGACTAAAATATATAGAACGTAAACTACTGAAATAAGTACAAGGAAGGCTATGAAACCACTCTTCTTCATACATTAGAGGAGTCACACCCCAAAGGCCATCATTTGCAGCCATTATGTATACTCTTTGCGATGATACTGATGCTGACACTGATGTAAAGGATGTGAATCTATGAACTGAATACAAGAATAAAACCATTCTGTCTGAAGGACTATTCATGTTCATGTATTTAAGGAGTCACACCCCAACAACGTTAAAGGAAAATTACATTTAACTAATTATCTCTAGTTCTTGTATTCTCTGTAATCATGTTAGGGCTATTGTGAAGACAAAATTGAGTTCAACCAAGCAAGGGAAAATGCCTCAAAAAGAAGCCAATGGGCCAAAAGATGAACTAGAGAACAAAACTAACTCCTCGAATCCAAACGTTAACGAGGTTTCCTTAACTAAATTTTTTTAAGTGTGATCAAATAAACATCAAGAATATGCAAACTACTACAGTAACAGCAGAAGAATTTGCTATAGACAATTGCTTTTGCCCCACTTGCCATCGGCGTTTATTTTTTAATATTTTTATCTGTATAATAATAGTAGTGGCAGAAACTTCCAGTGCTTTGCATATTAATTTCTCCTATAAGAAAAATTATAGCTATTTCTTGAACTGCCTTTAACTTTTAAACATGACAGGGTGCAGGAAACATTGATCAGAATGTTCTCATTCTAGAAGCCACAAATACTCCTTATGCTCTGGATCACATAGGAAAAGATCACCACTCACACTGCTCATTTGCAATTAGGAGACATGGTGGAAGATTCTTATACCAATTGATAAGAACTTTGGGAGAATCACACCACAAAAGCTAGTGGTTGTAGTTGGAGAGCCCAACGCTTTATAAACCCTACACTAGAACCTCATACTTCTAATGTGGAACTCAATACCAATTGGATCCTAATAGATTTCAAGCATGTACCACCTAAAGATTATAGAACTGAGAACTTCCATACTAGCCTTGCCAATATGATCCATCATTGAAAGGATTTTAATAAGTGCAGGTGCATCTTGGAGATACTCCTCATAATATTATTGAAAAATGTTTTGAAGAACTGACAAAAAACTGATGGATATTCTGGTTCAAATATTTTTACTGTGTTAAGTCTTGACTTTCTGTTAAACAGAAATTATTGAATGAATCTACTAAACAGTGTTAGCTTTTCTGGTTTAGTTTTTCTGCTGATCTGTAGAACTATTTGAATATTTTGCTTTGCATAATAACTATACTAAGAAATATAATTAGTGAATCTTATTGAAGAATGTCATTTTTTTCTGATTAGAGTACTGATAACATTTTCATATTGGTGTTCCTGTTTCGTGGCTTCATTACTTAGTCTTGAATCATTGGATTTTGCATTTGTATGCGATGCAATTTGATTCTCCAATCATGACTCATGTCACTTGTCTAACAATTCTATTTTTCTATTCTAAAAGAATTAAGAAAGGACAGAGGTTCATACATCTATGTGCTTGCTTTAGTTCAGAATTCAGATTGTAACATTGACTTCTAGGAAACACGGACACAGCTAGAAGATTGTCACACCAATGTCAGACATGTCTCTGACACGGATATGCTAGCAACACACTTCAATACTTGTCCTGTTAATTAGTAATTGCTTTATTGAGTACCTAAGATAAACTAATAGATTATCATCTTTAATAATTTCAGTGTACCATTGTTAATTTTTCATTTTAAAGATTTGAAATTTTATGTTTGAGATACTTTATTTTATAATTGAAATATATTAATTTCTTATTTATGTTTATACAACGTATCCTAAATGTGTCATGTCTGTGCTTCCTAGGCTGAATTTTCCATTATGGCTAAGTGCTTTGTTCAAAGATTCATGAGTCATGTCACTTGTCTAACAATTGTATTTTAAAGAGTTAAGAAATGATAGATATTCATATATAATAACAATATATGTTCTAGGTGCTTGATTCAGTTCAGATAGTAATGATGACTTCTACATTTTGGCTGTGTTTGTTCCTAAGATTTTTAATAAAGGGAAATTTATGCAGCCTCCAAAGGTCTAAATGATTTGGTACTTGAAACACTTATGTTTTCTGGAATATATCTAATCCCAAGGGGAGGTATAATTGTTCACAATGTTTGCTAACTGTTGAAAGTATCTCCGAACTTGTATATGGCCAAATACCCAAAATTTCAACAGCAACAGCAGACTGAGTTTCTAGTTTCTATTGCACTTCTTCATCTTTACACACTTGACATCCTTAATTTAAGCAGACAGAAGACATCAAGGTATCATATTTATTGTCAAAGAAGCTGATAGGTACTGCTCCAATCAATGACTGAATGCAAATCCATTGGAAAAAATATCAGAACTTGATGGGGCATTAAACCATATACATAAAAGAAATAGGATTCATATAGAAGAATGCCATAATTGATTGAATAATGTTAATGAAATGAGTACAAGTATGATATGTGTTTATTAATAACCTGAAGTTAAGAACATGAGAAGGGTATAAGAGAAGCAGACACTCACTTAACTAACTCATTTAGTGCCATAACAAGGTAATTAACTAACTGAATCAGCTCTTATATCTACGCTGTTGCAACTGTCATGTGTTTACTGTAGAATTGAAGTAACTAACTGAATCAAGCTCCAATAATAAAAATGAAATTTCATTATTCACAAAGCTAAACTCATCATTGGGTATGCTAAACATAAAGTTTGTAGCTTCATATTCATGTCTAAGAATTTACATTGACCATATCTCTAAGCAAAATATGGTTAAAGCATAAAAGAAGAACCAAACATGTATCTTTGAGAACAAGAACTGTAACTAATACAAAGTAAAACCATCATCGTAGGAAACATGGGAGCCACGTCTACAGGGAGGGGCATTCTCATCATACTCAGCACAGCAACTCCATCTTCTCTTCCAATTGGCACGCCCAGTGTTTGGCCTGTTATTCTTCTCATTCCATTTGTATACAATTACTCCAGATTTATCACTCCAATCCCCATCAATTCCTTGGTGTGGTGGAGACAATGAAAATAGACCCTTCTCTCCTACAAAACATTACATAAGTAGCAGTTATGCTTCAAAAATTCATCATGTTGTGGCTCACCAAAGAAACCAAATCTACAATTAAAAAATATATATTTGGTAACCCAATCGTGAAAGCATGACAGAGGATGCATAATTGGCAAATTCTAGATGATCATAAAAATCTCATTGGTATATCTAAATGGAATTCCTAGACAAGGTTTAGATTAGAAATAAAAATGGAAGATTCAAGAAATAAATTTATGAAAAGATTTTTTTTCTTGGTGGGTGTAAAAATTTGTTTAAAAATTGTTAGGAAACTTTGAACTATAAAAATAGGCCATTGTTAATTGATTAGTAATGATGTGTATAATGAAATATTATTAAAACAAACCATGCCCCTTTATTGTTAAGATATTATCCTATACTATATATATATAGTGTGTGTGTGTGTGGCTAGAGAAATAGTGAAATATATATACACATATTTTGCATATATACCATTGGTATGGCCGTGGAAAGAGCAAGCAAGTGGGGAATTATCTTGATCTGAGTAAAGGGTGTTGCATCTCAAGCACCGTTTCTTTGTTTGAATATGGGAAGTGGTTGCTTTGTTGTGTGACTGTGAACAAGACTTGACCTCTAAAGTGCTTTTCCCATGAGAAGATGGCTTGCAGAAAAGGAGGTTTTGAGAGAAATTAACAGCAAAAACCATTCAGATTTGCCTGTTTCACTTTGCAGATAAATGAAAGTGAATTATTCAGAGTTCAAAAGGACTCTGTTTGAGAGAGTAAAGAAGGATGATAATGTTCAATTGTCGTCACTGGAGATTAATCAGTGGGCAAAATTCCAAGCATAAATCATACATATATTATATTATAAATTAGTATATTTTCGTCTGTACGAATATTTTTATATTTAAATAATTTTTTAAATAAAAATTAAGAGATAAAAATATTTTTATTATTATTAATAAATACTTTATTATTTTAATATAATTAAATTAAAGACGCAAGTTTTTTAATTAAAGAAACAATTATGAAAATTATGTTAGTATTTTTAAGAATTATATTAAATAAGGATGATTTTAAAGTTAGTTAAGATATCTTTTTCATTATGATATAGAAATTTTTTATGTTGATTATTTAATTTAATCTTGATTTAAATTTTTTAAAATTTATTTTTTATTTTAAAAATTCTATTTTTTTAATTTAGTCTTATGTACCTGATATAATATATTATTTGTTATCAAAATATGTACTTTTTTGTAAATTTATTAATTGAAAATAATTATATAATATTTTTATTTTAAATTAATAATATCCATACAATATACAAGAAAGTCATTTGTAAATTATTAAAATTAAGACTTTATTGACAATTGATATGATGTGCCAAAATTAAATTAAGATTGATTAAAATTATAATAATAATATTTTTTATTTATCTAAAAAATATTCATTTTGATATATAGTATATCAAAATTGAAAACCAAATTAAGAAATACTATTTAAAAATATTAAACTTAACAATAAAAGTAAAATTAAAAGTTAAATGCAAGAACACAGTTACATGACTTATTAAATATGAGACTAGCTCCTAAAATAGTTAACATTAAAAAATAAGAAGCAATCTACAAGTATTATTAAATTAAAATAATTTTGTTAATAAAAATTAAAGGCATATTTCATTAATTATTTTGAGGTTTATAAATTTTAAAAATTATTATTATTTCTGTTAAATATTATGAAAATTTTAAATTTTAAATTAAGATTAAAATAAAAAAAATATTCAATGAAAAAAAATCTAACTCATTAAAATGCTCTCATTTAAAATGATGAATGGCAAAAACTTGTTTTGAGGAATTTTTGCTGCTTCAGGATGCTATGCGGTTCACTTAACATACACACATGGTGAATGGAGTTCTTCAGAAAATTTTGATCAACGATAGTCCCTCTAAAATTACAGCTTTAAAAAAATATATATTGTATATTGTATCATACCCAATACTCATATACATACCTGTGGAGCATAGATGATGTTTTTGTTTTTTATAATTCAGCATCAAAGAACACCTTACATCTGTTATTTTCATGCACTTTATAATGTTGTTTGGATGGAATGTTGATGTTGGTTAGGTCTGCAAACGGTGCTTCATATTGATAGAACAATGCACTTTTTTAATCATTGTGGAGCATTTTTATAGCACTAAAAGCTAAGAAGGCAGGGTACTCTATTTGGTTTGGAATGGTCTGGTCTCTATGGTTTCACAGGAATAGCATTATCTTAAAAAGAAGGCCGTCGATTTTCAATTTATGCTGACGTTGATAATTCTTAGATATTGAACTTGGCTTAGAGTTAAATTGGAAGAACGTTCTTTCTCTTTTTTATTCTTTTTATAGTATGCTTAGAAAGCCAGTTATTTTACTGAACTACTATTACCGTGTGTGGACTTGCAACATTCCACGCAACAATTATTATTAGATTTAATTAAACCATAGAAAATTAAGACACTTGTCAACTATTTAAGTCCCAAATTCTCAATTATTAGCTTATGCAACCATTTTCCACATAGATAACTATTGTCTCGTTATGTGGATAAGCATCTTATAACATAAAAAAAGGGTACACAGCTAGCTCACAGGTAACCCTTTTCAATGCAGCATTGAATTGCATCATCAACCATTTTCTCAAGCCCATACTTGAATACAAATCCGGCATCTGTGAGCTTCTTCGAAGATAAATCTGGTATCTTGACAGCTTTAATTTGTTTTAATGAGCTACAAGAAGAAATAATCAATCACTTCAAATTGTTTATTTAAATATTGTAACAACATTAAGTACTACAGAAACTCACTCAGTTGGTGGATGAAATTTTGGGTATTTGGCAGAAACAAGTTCAGATATCCTTTCAAAAGTGACCAAACACTGTGAGCAAATGTACCTCCCTTTTAGATTAGAATGTTCTAGCAAAAATATATGAGCTCTAGCCACATCATCCACATGCACCATGGGTGTTTCAAGTACCAAACCAAATGGACTTTTGTTCCCTGCAAAATGGAAAACTCATCATTACCATCGCAATTGAAGCAAGCACATAAAACATATAATTATCGTGTATGAACATCTATCTTTTCTTAAGTTTGTTTGAAATATAATTGTGACACATTTTTTCCAGTGACCTCAAACACATTTTCAACAACTAAATGAAAACAAAATAATATTAGTTTGGTTTCAAAAATTGATTTTACCTGCCAATTTAATCTCTAATATTACATAGAATAAAAATTTGCCTCGAATTTTAACAAATGCTAATATATTTAGTTTTTAAAATTGACATCACCAATCAATTTAATTCATGACAGTCAATTTGTTCCTTGTATTTCACAAATATCAATCAATTTGATGTTGACATAATGATATTATGAACTGAATTAATTGATGAGTATTAAAATCAAGAGTCAAAGTTATTCATAGTTGACAAAGTAAAAAAAAAAGAAAACAACCTAAATTAAAACTGTCAATAATTGCTATTTTTAAAGACTAACTTTTTAATAACTTTAAATATTAAAATTGTAATTAAAATTGATGGCATCACATACCAAATGCAAAATCCAATGTATCACTGACTGAGCTAGGAAGCTTGGGACAAATGAATGGTCCAAAAACAAAAGTTGGAACCAATGTCACAACATCCAATCCATTCTCTTCTCCAAATTCAAGTACTGCCTTTTCAGTCAATGTCTTTGAAATTGCATAAGAACAAGCAGACAACTTTGAAGCTCTAAGATAATTCACATCACTCCAAGAGCTTTCATCCATCAATTGTTCTTCTTTGCCATTGAAACTCACAGCAGAGGCACTAGAAGTGTAAATAACTCGCTTCACAGTCTTAGAGCTGAGGCATGCCTTCAAAATGCCTAGTGCACCATCAATGGTCCTTTTGGTCACTACTTCCTCATGTTCACTTAATTCAAAGTCAACAGGGGTAGCAACATGGAAAACTCCAATGCACCCTTCGATGGCAGAACTGAAACTTTGTGGGTTCTTGAGATCAGCGTTGAAAACTTGTAGCCTTTGGGATGCTCCAGGTAAGTCATAAAGAAAGCTAGGATCTTCTTTATGCTCTGTCTTATAATAAAAGTAAACATTGTTACTGTGTTGAGTGAATTAATGTACGAAAAAACCGTTAATTTTCTTTAAAAAATATATATTAAGAATAATTATCACAAACTTGATTAAAATTAAAAACACAATTTAAACTTTGAAAGTTAGTAACTGATAGCAAAATCAAGTTCAGAAGTGGATTATGCATTAAAAATAATAATTTACTTTAAGTAATTTGATAGATGGTAGATACAATACAATGCTTATTTAAGAGACAAGTTATTTTAAAATGATAACTTATATCATAAATTTAATAATAAAATTTACTAAAATAAGGTATAAATAACTTATTTTGATAAGTTATACTGATAAACTTTTTAAATTATTTGAAAAGAGTTTACTAGAGTTATAAATTATTTATGCACTCTCCTAAACATAACATTTGCATATTTATTTTTTTTAAATATTCTTCTGATGTGTTTTTATTTCTCCTTCCCTTTTAATATTTTTAACAGTGCTTATTTAATTACTTGGCCCTTTTAACAGTTTTTAAAATAGTTTTAAAGTTTCATCATTTAACATAAAGGAATAGAATGTTAAAATAAAAAGCTTTACGATGAGTGACCCAAAAAATAAAGTCCTCTGAGTGTCCTAAAATCAGGTAAAATTTCAGTAACTGTATTAAGCGATGAAAAGAACAAAAAGGAATGGCATTAACAGGCAGCAGAAAGCAAGGTTAGATCTGAAATCCTATGGTAACTCAACAAAAAAAGGTTAAAATGGAAAGAATGAGAATGTCTAAACCTGGATCGGGTCTGACAGTGGTATGAACAAAGTAACCATTGTGAAGGAGCTTCATGATAAGCCAAGAACCAATAAACCCTGCACCTCCTGTCACACACACTCTTCCCTTACATTCCTCCATTCTCTCACTCTTCTTCCATCAACACCAAAGTACAAGTCACTATATAAGTCTACCACTTTCTCTTCATCTCAAGTATCCGTATCATGGTGGGCCCCTTCACCAGCTTAATTTTAATTTAGTTAATCATTTTTTATTTTACTTTTTGTAAAGAATTTTTTTTATTCATTTTTTATCATCCGCATGAGTGAATGTGAACAAGGAGCAGGTTCACCCGCAGTTGGTGCGGTCGTCATGATGCGGATCGTTCGATTCATTTTAGTTTTATATTTTTATTCTTAATAACGAGTGAGTATTTTATTGAAAACTTGTTAACATGGATATATATTTTTTTTTACAGGACTACAGGAACTACATGCTACAGTTCTCATTCGCTTGCTTAATTGAAATAAAATTTGTTTAAATAAATTTAACAAAAAATATTTTTGACTTAAAACAAATAAAATAAAATCACTTTTTGTTAAACTTAAGTAAAAAAGAGTGACAAAAAAATTTAAAAAAAGAGAGAGGTTGAGAAGGAGATAAGAGCGAGCATAAGAGAGAGAAAGAGCAGAACAAGAATAATAATAATAAAAAAAAAAAAAGCTAAATGAGGAAAGAAAGAGAGAGAGATAAAGGGGAGGAGAAGAGAACTAGATAAAAAAAAAAGAGAAAGAAATTGAGTGAAACTAAAAGAAAAAGAGATAAAGAAAGAGAGGAGGCCAAGAAGGCAACATTTTCATCTTTCTGTGTATATTTTTGCTTAAGCAAAATTACACTCCAGCCTGCAGTTTCTGCCAAAACTTCAAATAATTGGAATTCCATTTTTTTCTACTAACTCATGTCAATTAATTCAAGAGATGAAAGATATAATAGGTCATTCCACCACAATAATATTTCTTGTTTATGCAATTTTGTTTTTTCTTCACATCACCCTACCAAATAATACACAGCATAGGTTATTATAGCATACAAATAAAGAAATTCAAATTACACTTTGTACTTTCTCTTTAATAGTTCATTTGTCTTATAAAAAAGAAAACAAATAAAGAAATCCTAAATTCAATGAATCCATCTCCAAATCCTTTAAAGACTTCCACAGCTCTATTACTTACATAAAAGATATGAATGTAGATTTGCCACACACAACACGTTATTAGATTTTACACAAACCATATTAGAATTGCATTAACTAATTTCCATTGCCAATAGTAGTCCAATTCCAAAAGCATTTAAGTCCCAATTGCTAGCTTCAACAACCATTTTTTTTAACATAGATAACTATTGCCTTATTGTGTGGATTATCCATCCTATGACGTAGAAAAGGTTACACAGCTACCTCACAGGTAACCCTTTTCTTTGCAGCATTGAATTGCATCATCAAGCATTTCCTCAAGCCCATATTTGAACATGAATCCAGCATCTATGAGCTTCTTCGATGATAAATCTTTTAGCTTTGTACCTTCAATCAGCTTGAAGGAGCTACAAGAAGAAATAATCAATTATTTGTTATGGTGAGATTAAAAGACAAAAGGTTCATTTGCTTAAATCAACAATGTCAAGCTCACCCTTTAGTTGGTTGTTGAAACTCAGGGCATTTGGCAGAAACAAGTTCAGAGATCCTTTCAAAAGTTACCAAACATTGTGAACAATTATACCTCCCTTTTGGACTAGAATGTTCTAACAGAAATATATGTGCTCTAGCCACATCATCTACATGCACCATTGGTGTCTGAAGCATGAAACCAAATGAATCTATTTTTCCTGCATGAATTTCATTTAATATAATTATAATCATAAGAAAAAACACTCAGCCAAAGTAGAAAAGCAAGTACAATAAACATAATTCTCATGTATGATTCATATCTTTTCTTAACACTCTTTAAAATAGAATTGGTTACCCATTTTGTTAAGTGACATGATCTTGATCTTCAAACACATTGCGAATTATTTTATGTGGTAGAAAGCAGAAGCAGCAAATTGCATCACATACCAAATGCAAAATTCAGTGAGTTTTGAACTGAGCCAGGAATCTTAGGACAAATGAAGGGTCCACAAACAAAAGTTGGAACAACTGTCACAACATCCAATCCATTCTGTTCTCCAAATTCAAGAACTGCCTTTTCAGTCAATGTCTTTGAAACTGCATAAGACCATCCAAAAAACTTTGAAGCTCTAAGATCATCTACATCACTCCAAAAGCTTTCATCCATCACTTGTTCATCTTTGCCATTGAAAGTCACAGCAGAGGCACTAGAGGTGTAAACAAATCGCTTCACTGTCTTGGAATTGAGACATGCCCTCAAAATGCCTAGTGCACCATCAATTGATCTTTTGGTCACTACCTCCTCAGGTTCTCTTAGTTCAAAGTCAACTGGGGTAGCAACATGGAAAACTCCGATGCACCCTTCAACGGCCGCAGTGAAACTTTCTGGATTACTGAGATCAGCACTGAGAATTTGTAGCCTTTGAGGTGCTCCAGGTAAATTGGTAAGAAAGCTAACATCCTTCTTGTGTTCTACTTCAAAATTAACAAAACACACCCAGGGGTCAAATTTAAGTGCAAAAAACAACGAAAATGATTCACAACCTGGAAGCTGCACTGTCTGATTACAAGTCCTCTATAGTGTATACCCCACACCAAAAGTTTATAAGGGAAACAACAGCAATGTTCAAAACAGCGCTCAAATACGTTATCTATTTTTATATTTTTGTGATTTTTTGGTTTTCATTTTATTTTAGTTTAGTTTTTGGTTTCGGTCTTGAGAAGCTGACTAATGTTGATTTTTTGTAGAATAGTCACGATGAAAAGACTCAAATAAAAGAACTCAGAAAATGCATGGAACAAGACAAAGAAAAATTAAAAACAAAAAATTACAAAAATATATTGATAAGTGTTAAAAATAATTATTTAACAGATGGGTTGGCTCTATCACCTGGGTCGTGTCTCACAGTGGTGTTAACAGAATAACCATCTTCAAGAAGCCTTTTGATAATCCATGAACCAATAAAACCTGTGCCTCCTGTAACACACACTCTTCCTTTACCTTCTTCCATTTTGTTCTCTCCTTCTTGCTTGTTCTAATGACTGCTATATGTATCCACTTGTTGGGTGAATAGGATAGAACAAATGAAAAGTGATACCTTTAGACGTTGATGTGTTATTCTCTTCACTGCAAGTGTTAAATGGTGATTGGACTTAATTTGTTTTTTCCTTTATTTTTCTATATTTTCTTAGCCACATATTCCACCCTTGCATCACACTTTCTATGATCTGATATGGGTTTTGAAAAAGCTCCAATTATTTGTGTCTTGTCAATTATATCGTTAAGGCGGCATTTGGTTATCATACAGAGAAAATGAGATAATAAAGACAGAAACACAGTATTTTTTTATTTTTTTTATAAGTTTATTTTTTGTGTGTCTTTTTAAAGTTGAGATATTAGTATTTTTTTTTTAAAAGTACATTGACATTTTTTAAATTTATGTTTTTAATGTCTTTTATATTCTACGAAATACTAACTAAATATGATATGTGTATCTCTTTATTTTTATCCTGTAATTAAACGCTAATTAATTGTATGTGTCAAGTAATAAATTAAGGTTTAATTATTATTTTTTTTTATCATTGGACTATGTATAATATTTATTATTTAATTAATTAATAACAAAATTTCATGGCTTTTAAAATGTAACAAATGTATTCTTTTATTGAATTTTTTATTTAAAACTCTTAAATTCTTAATTTTTTTTTGTTAAAATTCGTGCAAATTAAATCAATTAAATTGTCTTTTACTCAAAACATAACTAAAATACTAAATTTTACTTTTCAAAAAAAAAACTTAAAACTTTCCTTCTACAAATTTTAATCTCATATTTTACAAAAAATATTTTAAATTTTATCAAATTTTGCTAAATTTCTTATTTCTAAAACTTTAAAATCATTCATGTTCCAATTCTATTATAACATTTGGTTAAAACATCAAAAATAGGATTTTAAATGAACCCATGGGAGATCAAATTTACATAATTTTAAAGATAAAAAGACTTAATTAATTTAGTCTAAACCAAAAGAATTAGAAATGTAATTAAACTTAAAATTAAAGTGTAAGTATATTAAAAATTAGATATAATTTACTATTAGAGAAAATTACATTTTCCTCCATTAAAAAAATACATAAATTATGCTAACCTCCTTTTTATTTTAAATTTACATAACTTGTTCCTTAAAAAATTAAAATCAATAAAAATTTAACCCATTGTTTTAATAAATTATACATTTGTGTCAATTTTTCAAGAAATTAATTGAGTTCAATGTATTTGTTATGAAACATTAAGTCTCGTCATTGTTATAAGAGTTTTATTTTAAAAACTTGTCTTATCAAATAATGAAAAAAAAAACTAATACCTTTAACAAAATCATGCAAGATATAAACAACGGCAACTTTAACATATTCAACTAAAAAAATAAAGCAAAAAAATTAAAAAATTAGACCATTAGTAAAAAATGAATTACGGTTTATTTCCTAACTGTGCTTTAATAATAAAAAAAACTTTAAATAAATCAAATGGTGATGTATTTTAATTTTTTTTAAAATAGAGTTATATAATTTTAACATATAAGAAATGGTAGTGTGATATAAACATATTTTAAGGGAGAAGAATGTGGTTTACTCTTGTAATTAATTGGTAGAAATGATTAATGTAAAATGATGTTAGTATGTGTTTTACGTCAGTACATTACTTTTATTGATAAAATGCTTAACGTTACTTTTAATATTTACTACTTAAGCATTGTTGTCGTTGACATAATTTGCCAGTTATTATTTTTAAGTAAATACGTTTCTGTTTGGACAATTCTACTAAAAAATGGTCTTTTGCATTGCATAGAATTAAAAATATCTTGTCTTTAACGTTACCCGGCTACTACAGCAAGTTCAAAGAAATAACGAAAGCAATTGTTTACCTTGATTTTACAAAAACATTAATATTGTCAAAGTTGTCTCTGTAAACAATATTTTTTAACTTCAACAATAGGCCCATTATATTTTTTATTAGTTTTAATAAAAGCTATAAGTGAAACAGATGTATTTTTCGTTTCACCATTAAAGATGATTGATGTTATTGGAGTGGAATTTTCTTTCACTTCTAGACTACATAATGACAACTTACTATATCTGTCCACCCAAAAAGTCAATTTTGTTGTTGGCATGTTTTGTTCTTGAGAATCATTAACACACTTTTTTCAAAAGCAATCTTTAGCGTTAAAAAAATTCATACCATTGTATTAAATAAAGAGTGAGACTTGGTATCAAAAGAAATTGAGGGATGAAAAACGCCAAAGAAGGAGTGAGATCTATATAATTTATTAAACACTCACATAATCAAAATTCAACTTGAAAGAAAGGAAAGTGTTGAGGGTCTTATCACAAATGTTCAAATTGATAGTTAACAATATTGGGGTGTGCATGACTAACTTTTCATTTATTAAACAAGCTTAAAGTTTAAATGCACATTCAAAAGTCCCTTACTCTGGTTGAAAGACAATTGAATGCCCTGTTAAAATTGTAAGAAGTGATAATAGTCAAGAAATTTTCATGACATCTTTCTATCAACAGAGATAATAGTCAAGGATTTCTACGCCAACCAAATTGTGTAAAAACATTCAACAAAGTGGATGAATTGAAAGAAAACACTGGTTTATACTCAAATATATGATGAAATCGTGTTCCTTCCTATTTGCTTAATGAAAATCTCCCTATAAACTCCTGCATGGTTTCTTGCCTGATCTTGAAGATTTACAGCTCTTTATGCTATATTTCTACATCTTAAATCTAAAATTGTATTACAACTCAGAAGTGAACTTATTCTCTCAACTAGTGGTAATTAATCAAAAGCAAAGTCGGTAGCATCATTTCATTCTCTAGACACTTTTTTTAACGACAATGTTCTGTGTACCACTAATTAGAGACAAGACAAGACGCATTTTCAGTATGATGAGCTTTTGAGAAACGTAATTAAAAAGTAAAAAATAAATATATTAATATATTATGTCACATATAATATCAATACCTTTTTTTATGTTTGATCCTGAAACCCATAACCTTGTCACTGAAGGCCCAATATTCAGCCCACAGTGCTGCATTTACAATATTGGGCTCCCAAGAAAGTCCATCACTTCTCCGTTGCTAATGCAATACACTACCAAGTAAGAAAAGCATTCTAAACCAAACCGAACCAAAAGAATTCATCAGAATCTTGGGTCTAATGGCGGCAATGATTTCACGAAGGTTAAGGTTAGCCTCTTCCCTCCTAAAGCACTCTCAATCTTCTTCAACGAATTATTTGTTCAAAAACCCTAAAGTCCCAATCTTCGAACCCTTTCAAACCACAATCCCCAGTCCACGATTCCTTTTCAACCCCCGTCCCTTTTCTACCTTAAATTCGACGAACCCATTCCTTCCACAGGCAATAGCAACACCGTGCAGATTTTTCTCAACCAAAGAACCATCATCATCATCAGATTCTGATAACCCCAGCCCAAGCCCGTACCCAAGCCAAAACCCGAACTTCAAGCACCAAGAGATCGATGGGCCCACGGTGGAACGTGACCTCTCACCCCTAGCGAACGAGACGCGAGAGGTTCTAGAAACGATGATGAAAAACATGTACGGTTTGAGCAGAATCGTGGCGGTTATGGGTCTGGTTCAGCTTGCGCTTGGCGCGTGGATCACGTACATATCTAAATCTGAGCCACGCGTGGAGGTTTCGGTGCAGAGTCTTGTGGCGTTTGCGTTTCCGTTTTCGTTGGCGTTTATGCTGCGGCACTCGCTGAAGCCAATGCATTTCTTTAAGAAGATGGAGGAACAGAGTCGGTTGCAGATTCTCACGCTCACGCTCCAAGTCGCTAAACAGTTGAACGCGCTCTTTGTTAGGGTTCGTGGGGTTTCGATTCTCTGCGTTGCGGGTGTTGCTGTTGGGGTGGGGTATGCTCTGCTTTCAAGATGGAGCTGATTTTGCTACTTTGCAAAAAGCTTCAAAATCTGTGAATGTAGCTGATGAGTTTTCTGCTTATGATATATATATGTTGTTGCTTTTCTCTTCGGATGTTCACAATTTCGGTTTTGTTTCATTTGGGATTCGATTGTAGCAGAGATCATAAGAAATAATCTTCATTCTCACTTGAATTGGCTTGTTCTATACTCTTTCTTCGTTGGTTTTCCAAAATTATTAAATTTTAAATGCTTTTAGTCGTTATATGTGATTCATTCTTTTATTTTGTCCTATGTTAAAAAACAATTATTTATACTTTTAAGTTTGATACTATAACTTATGTGATCTTTGTTTTTATAATTTTAATTGTTTATATTTCACTTTTATAGTCTATCAATTATTTAAATTAATTTTTATGTTAAAAAATTATTATGATTAATCAAAATATAATCAAGTGACAAATCATTGAAGTATAAAAATTGATCAAAGAAAATGTACAAAATATTTAAATGAAAATATATCATAATTTTATTGATTACTTGATAAATTTTTTACTGCAGGACTTTATTTAAATAATTAACAAAATTATGAGAATTAAATTTAAATTATTAAAATTGCGAAAACCAAGTTTGCATATTAACTTAAATCTGGGGATTTAAGGTGTAACTAAAATGTTTTTGAAATGATTAGTATCATTATTGAACATTTTGACGCAATTATTTCATATTACATTATTTTATTTCACAACGACCTCAAGCAATAACAATTTCATATAATATAAATTAACTTTTAAGTACTAAAGTATTAACTTTTTATTATTATTATTTGATAGAGTAATAAAAGTCTGTTTTTAATATTTTTCTTGTATCTTCTAAGCTAAAATTTGTAGTTAAATATGCTAAAGCTTTTATGTATAATTATCATAGATAACTGTTTTTTTAGTTGCTGTGTTGCAATTTGCTTTTATATTATGTTTTGGTATTGTTGAAAATTTTATGCATATTTTTTAATGTTATTGAGCATCATATTTGCTTTCATATTTTTATTTTTTTAAAAATTAGTTACTTTGGTTTTTTAATTTTATTTTTAAAAATTGTGAGATAATTTTAGAGAGTCCAAAATATTTTAGTTCATTGATAATTTCAGGTTTTATAATCATTATTGATATCAGGTGTGTTTGAAAAAAAAAATTATGAAGATTTTATGGAAGTTTTTTATTTTAATGAATTTTTTAAGTTCATTTTAATAAATTTGTATATCTTATAAAAAAAATTTATCCAATGAGAGTTTATTTAAATGCTTAATTAATTGTTACCACTTATAATTATAAAAACAATTAAATATACTTTTATTCACCATAATTTATATTAATCTTATTCTTAAATATTAACTTTTGGTCTTTATAATTTCAAAAACTTTAATTTTGGTTTCTATTGCCAGTAATGTATCAAAATAGGTGCCTCATAGTGTACAATCATTTGAACCAATATCTGATATATTAGGAAAACAAAAATTTAAACAAAATAAAATTAAAAATTCTCACCACCAAAGAAAAAATAACATCCGAAAAACGAGAAAATAAAGAAAGCAAGCACAAATACAACATCACAACGGTGTAATATATTACAGTATCACATAATAACAAAATTTTATGAAGGATCAAAATCCCTCTTATTTCTCACTAACACCTACAAATAATAACAATAAAAATGAAATAAATAAACAGTAACACATGGAATATTGATATATCATGGTGAAGCTCTCAATATAATATAAATCTTAGAACTTGAACGCGGCCATAAGAGAAAACAGAAGCGAGCCAACTATCATCATAGCGGAGGAAGACACGGATCCCACAGCTCCGGCGTCAGGACTCGGTGCCGGAGACGACGCCGGTGAAAATTCTTGGGCGGAAGCGGCGAGGGAGAAGACGGCAAGAACAAGGAAAAAGGTGAAGGATTTGAATGGGGTTAGCTTTGCCATAGCGAAAAGTCGAGAGTGAAGAGGGTAATGCTTTGAGATATCGAATTGTTGCGGAGAATGTGAATGGTGTAAGGAGAAGGGAAGAGAAAGGGTATTTATTTATAGTGGGAAAAAACGCGGACAGCTGGCAACAGGGAAGGAACATGCGTTGTCGTTTTGGCAAACCATTGGCGTATACACGACTAAACTTTCAGCTGTTTTGCTATTAAGTTGCCCAAACGCATTACTACTGTTACGGTGTCAAGATGCAGCAGAGTACAACGGGGTTGCTTATTCTGTAAGGAAAATGTTACAATTAATAATAATCAATTTTTATTAAAATAATTATTTATTATATTTTTATAATTTTAATGTAATAAATATATAATATGTTTTTTTATTTGCAACACCTTAGGTCGGTATTTCTTAAACTTACTTTCAGTTTTAGGTTACAAGAGTTAATGAGTTTTGATCTTTCTAATTCAATTAATTTAAATGGTGAATTGGATGAGTCCATTTAAGGGATGGATCTTATTTTATCATATTTCCAATGTATCTATGTAGGAACGTAATAATTAGTTTACCAAAAACGAAAATAAAGTAATAATATTTTTTATTAAAAAATAATATTTAATATTATTAATATGTTAAATTTTATAATTTTTAATAAAAGTTATCGTACATACATTTTTATTACGTGTCTTTAAATATATATTAAAAAATCAATTTATACAACGTTTATTTTATGTAATTATTTTTATTGTTAATTGCAATATAAATTTAATTTAAAATGTAATTAAACGAAATATGAATGTTAAAAAGTAAGAATCTTATTAATTAATATAAAAATACAAAATAAATTTTATAGTTAATTACTTTATTTTGAAAAATGAACACGTAAAGAAGGTTCATAATTGTTGTCTTCCCCAGTTGGCAGTGTAGGTATTTAATCAATTAATGAAGCAGTAATTAGGAAGAACATGTCAACAATGGGACACTTCTAGTGTGGATATTTATTCTTCGGTTAATTGGGTTCGATGTTTGGTCAAAGTTTTATAATATAAAAATATTTTATATTGTCAGTTAATTATAAATATTATATGATATATTTAATTAATTAGCAGTATACAAATTTACGGTGAATATAATATAATTAGGAACAGAGAAGATGTTCCAACGCCAGATTCATATGGTTATCACAAACATGCAACCCATGAATTTTGATACCCAAAGTGATAAGTTCTATAATCATTTATGCTAACCAAATTTAAGTCTCATCTCATCTACACACAAGTTTTATTCATAATATATAATCAAATTATTTATTATTCACCTTCAATTTTATTTGAAAATACTCACAAAGTTTAGTATTTTTTAAGTTTAAATACATATTTTTTTATCAAGTTGGCAAAGTTTCTTGTATTTATATGAAAGAAACTTGTCAAGTTTCCAAGTTGGTTTAAGTAATACTTTCTTGATTCACGTTAAGACCCAAGTTCATGTTTGCTGATAGTCCTACCAAGTTGTGAATGTTCCGAAATTTATTAGATATATATTATTGTGAAGAATCAAATTCTATTAGATTTTTTTATTAAAAAATTACATTTTAATCTTAAATAAATTCAAATAAATTTATTTAAATTTTAAACTGTCTTCATTATATTAATAGAAAATATTCTTTCTTATTTTATATGAATTGAAATTTAATGTTAATATATTTTAATTAAATAATTTTTTATAAAATTTTACTTTAAAATATTCATCTCTATAATTTATTTATAATTAATAAAATTAATTTAAATCTGTCTATTTATGAAATTTATTTAACTTTAAAATAGTGATGTATAAAAAAAAAACTTTATAATATATAGATGAAATTATAAATTTAGTCTTTATAAAAAAGTTTACAATTTAGTTTGTACATAAATTTTTTTTGAATTCCTATTTGCCATTTATAATTGTGTTAACAATATTAAACCAGAGGGTAAAACATAACAAAATACTTATATTAAGAATAAAACATAAACTTTTAAATATAGTAATAATTTGTAAAAGTGTTAACTATAAGAATAAAATGAGTAATTTATTTAATTATAACTTTAAAAAATATATAACACTAAATTTAGTTAAGAAAACACCTAGACCTGCACTTTAATTTTATCTTCAAAATATATTTAGTTATTTAATGATGAAATTTATTATATTTTATAAATTTTATTAATCTCAATTTTTATTATTGAATTTAAATATTTAAAAGTATGAATTTTTTTTATTAAAAAAACACACATTCATTATGCTAAATTTATAAAAATATAATAAATATTTTTTAATAAAAATTTACTGTAATTAGTTACTTAAATTTAATCTTAAGTATTAATATTAATATTTTTATTATAATTTTTTTATATCGATGATGGTATTTGAAGATGAGGAAATAGCTGACGAGAGGATTGGATTTGCAGTGAGAAGTCTTTTGCCCTGAATAGATAGGATAAGATTATTGCAAATAATAACACCCAATGTATGTGGACTTTCTTTAATTGACAATAAACTTCAAAACATTATCGACAGTTCTTAAAATTTCTTCTCTTTTAGTTTGCTTTTGTAATATTTTTATATTCAGTAGTACCACTTTGTTATTCTTTTACTTCTATTTAATTTCTTGCTGCAGCCGTTACTTTCATTCTCACGTTAACACACTTAAAAGAATTAAAAAAATTTAAAATTTTGTTTTAGGTTATTCTTGAATTTATTTATTTACTGTCTATAATTATTATTATTATAAAAATAAGAAAATAAAATTAAAAATTACTATTCTAAGAGTATCCATTAAAAATTGAAAAATTAATAAACACTCTGATGATAATTTTAATCTACAAAGAGCTTTTAAATATCATAATTAAATTTACAAAGAGCTTTTAAATATCAATAATTTTATGATATTAAAATTCTTTCAATTGCAATAAAAATTTTAATCAAGTCATTATGAAAATAAAAAATATCTATAACGATGTAGTACTCAATTAATAATACTAATTTCATACCAAATGTTAAAAGATAATATTGTCCTAATATTCCTAAATTCAATTTCACATTGTATAGTATTTCAGTTAAATACTAATAAGCATTTAAAATAATATTAATGTCTTCTTATTCAAACAATTTATGTTATATTATATAATGATAAAATTGATTTCATGAAAAAAAATAAAACTTTTATTTTTATATAAAAAAAACATGAATAACGCACATTTTTCAATTCTCTCATTAATATTTTTTATCATTAAATAAATTACATATAAAATTGAATAAATAAAACATAAATCCAAATTATTTAATATATTTTACATAAATTTATTTAATATTATTAAATAATGCATTATTAAACTTCTTATTTTGTGTAATATAACTTTTAAGTCAAATTAATTTAACTGACACGTGTTTACTTTTTTAAACTAAAATTTTCAATTTAAACATTGTGTAAAAACGTTACTGAAAAAGCAAATTATACCGTAATAAAATGTTTTAAAGTCAAATCAAATTGTCACTTACATAAAAAAATGTAACTTGCAAAAAGGAGACAATAGGAATCCTACCGTTGAATGCGAGCTAATGAGAAAAACAAGCACGCTGTGATGCCCATCAGAATGGGTGGGACACGCGGGCACGTACTAGTGGGGGGCAATAAGCGTGCGAAGCACACGTGTGAGTCACGATGGGGACGAAAATGACCTCTTAAAGAATTAGGGGTATCATTCGTGGTCAGATTGGGCGGCAGGCTTCTTCCCTGTTGTCACCGCTCACCATTTTTTACCCTTTAATTTCCCTATTTTACCCTTTTCATTCCCATGCTACCCTCAACAATATTATTATAATAATAATAATCTAATTTCTAACATACTTTTTATTATTAGTTAAACTTTATTAAACTTAAGTATAGTCAGTAAAATAAATTTGTTCAAAATTGTTGGTTTCAAAGATAAAATGTGCTTTATATTTTAAACTTAAGGTAATTTTGGTACCATATGAAGAGTATCAAAATGTGGTGTGCTTTACTAAAGCGGTGAAAAATAAAATATTGAACCTTTTTGTGCATGATTGCCATTGCCAACCAGTTCCTAACAAGATCACTTGGATGTAAAGTCAGCTAGATTTCTTTCCTCCTTAGCTACATCGCTCAAATCTTCAAGTTTGTGGGAGCATGTTTGGATTAATCCCTATTCGATTTTTGTTGCTCCATTTAGCCAGACATGTATATAATTCATTATTCTTCATTTATGGCATTGTAGTGAACACAAATAAAAGGCCCTTTTCAACCTCACGCTAAGGGAAAAATTCATTTGTATAATCAAAACATTACACCATCCATTTTCTCAATATTTTATAGAAATCATTATGCCTTTCCTTCATCAACTATGCTGCTTTTTAACAACTACATGCGCAGGAAGAGAGAGAGAGAGAGAGAGAGAGAGAGTGCACCCTACTAGCAAAAACAATAATGTATTTTCTTTGTATTAAGATCCTTTTGTGTGTCACGTTTGAAACTTAGGCATATCAAGTAAGTAATTTTGATAATTTTTATTAAGATAACTCATTATAATGACTAACTTGAAATATATTATATTTGAATAAGTTAGAAATAAAAATAACAAGTAAAATGAAATTATAAAGTTAAAAACTTAACTCTTTATTATTAATTGTTGACAGAACGTGAATATTGTAGTATAATAGTAGAATAATTCATAATAATGAAATGAACACGTCAAAAGAGGAGGGGGGATGGTGGTGATGGTGGGACAGAAGAAAAAGGAAGGTGGACAAGTTGGTAATTGCAGATGGCATGAAAAGGTTTGATACGCGTCTCTATGAGGTCCATATTCCATTTCCATTACCAACCTCACAACCCATCTCTTACAAATCACTCGTTCCTCTCCTTTCTCTCTTCTCAATCCCATCCCCAATCTCTCTTAACTCTCTCCCTCTCTCTCTCCCTCTAAACAGACCATGGCTCAGAAGGCAGAGAAGAACGAAACCGATTTCAAGGTCCCTGAAACCATCACCCCCTGCAGCACCAACCCCGCCACCATTCCAGAACCTTCTAGATTCTTCGACGCATCCACCACCGCTCCCGCCGCGTCATCGCGCTCCCCCAAGAGACCCCTCCCTCCTCAAGACCCCTTGCAAACCGATCAAGCCCCGTCCTCCGAGCCCAAGCGCGCCGTCAACCGCTGCTCCGGCTGCCGCCGACGTGTTGGCCTAACCGGATTCCGTTGCCGGTGCGGCGAACTCTTCTGCGCCGAGCATCGCTACTCCGACCGACACGACTGCTCCTACGACTACAAAGCCGCAGGAAGAGAAGCCATCGCCAGAGAAAACCCCGTCGTCAAAGCCGCGAAGATCGTCAAAGTTTGAAACCCTAAATCGGGGATGAATCTCGAGAGAAAAAAGGAAAACACGAAACTACGTTGAAACGACGCGGTTGAAAGGCTAAACTTGCAGCGAGGAACTATTCCGATCGCGATTAGTTAATTACGCGCGTCTCTTTCTCCGAGACGCGACTCGGGCGCGTGTGTGAAGCTGAGAAATTGTAACACGAAAAGATGAACTTCATCTTTTTTATTTTCTTACATAATTTCTAAATTTTTATGTTTTTTTTTTTTAAATTTGGGCTTGGAAATTTTTAAGTTATTGTGTTGTTTATTATGTGAATTTTATCTTTTTTTGGTTTGGTAGGACTTGGGAAGCATAGGATTCAGGGGTGTGGGAGAGTAAATTTTAAGGGGATGTGAGGATATAATTGTCAATTTGTGTTGTACTTTGAATTTGGAATTTTCGAGAATGGTGATGATGATAGAAAGTTGGGTGGACCCACATGATTTGACATGTGACGATTGTTTTCGCGATATATTATTGAGTGGGTGAGTTCGTGTCGTGATGTAGCCGCAGCGAGATTTCGTGCTTCCGGTTTTTTGTTTTCGGGGACAGTGACTCGTAACTTTTGGCGCATTCTAGCCAATAGGGTTGCGCCACGTGTATGATAGATAATTACGTTCTGCTTTTATATTTTTTCGATGGAAGAATCCCGAGGGAATGTCATGATCGAACGCCTAGGATTTGGTGGCGGTGGATGCCATTTGAGCATTATTTTGTTCTTTTATAATTGTTTTGTAATTGAAATAAAAAATAAGAAATAAAAAAATATATTTTACTTAGAAGATAAAAATAAGACATTTATTTGTTTACATAAATAAAAAATATTATAATAGTAATGAAATATTGTCTTTATTAATTAAAAAGTTAGCACAGTTTTTTATATTTTTTTGTAGTTTAAAGTTAATTAAATTTAATATTTTTTAAGTTTTAAATGTTTTATCGAGACCGGATATTTTTCATAAAAAAACAATATGAACGGTAAAAATTATCTATATTATTTGGAAAAGTCGGAAATATGGTTGATAACTTTATACTAATGGCAAACTTGATTTTAGAATATTAAATTTGAAATTATAAATATTATTCACCAAAAGGCGTGTCGTAATAGAATAATTTATTAGATAATATTTAATTTGACAGGGTATCAAATGCTGTAAACGGTGGATACTATAATTTAAATATTAAGAAGGGATAATTTTAAAATGTCAAATAAAATAATCACTAGGGGACCATAATTTTTGTGGGGCATGGTATTTATGAAATAAATAAATAAATAAAGTCTCCATCAAAGCATAGCAATGTATCGTATACGAAATTAAGCGAGTTGAGGAGAAAATCCAGAGGTTGAACTGTGCATATGAAGCATTACCATTACGAAGCATGGCATGGCATGGCTTGTGCGTAAACCATGCGCGATGATGATGTGCGCTCGTCTCTCTCATTCTCATGCCGATTGGCTTCTTTTACTTTGCCAATCCTTCCCTGACGTGTAGTATTTTCCATAAAAGCAGACAAAGAGAGGACCGTATTTTTCGTTTAGATTTCCAATCAATTTTACTATTTCAAAATATATATTTTAATAATCATAATAAATAATATTTAATTATAAATTAAGTTTTAAAAAATTTAAAGAATTAATGTAAAAGCAATTACATGGTTTAATAAGAAAGAGAACAACTCAAATATTTTTAAACTTAATTAATTTCACATTTACATATTTAAAATTGAATTTAGAAATTTGAACACTTGTGAAAACATGCATTTAGAAACCTAAATCTCATTGATCGTATGACGCTGATTTGGGGAAGAAAACAAGCAAACACTGTGGTTTCGCATAACATAAAGCACAGAACAAACGTATAGACATCCTTGCATATGTTAAGATTCTTCTGCTTTAACTTTTTTTTGTTGGTCGAACGTGATTCTTTTCATTGTCCTTTGCACCTCAACATCATTTTTTTTTAATTTTAATTTTCATTGTCATTGTCATTGCCCTTTGAAAAGATTCATTCATGGTAAATGATATTACTCACTACTTTTGGTTAATAAATTATTTGTACGGTATGAGCAAGCAAAGAACATGTCTCGCAGCAAATTGTTTTTGGTTACTTTTTTTCCCTTTCGTTTTGGGTGATTTTGTAAGAACCCATTCACTGATTGACGGGGAAAGCATTGTCACGTTTTGGCCATTTGGAGTGTGCTAATTAATGTCACCCAAGATAGAAACTGAAACTCAAAACAGAAACAAAAATGTTTTTTCGTTTTAATTCTAATCATTGTAATTATGCAAGAAACGAGACAAAAAGTCAATCATGAATAACAATTGAATTATGACAAAAATACTAAAATAAAAATGAATGAAAAGAGTGTATATTTTTGTTATTTTTTTTATTTAGTTTAATCCCTGGTTCTTCTAAAATCAACACTCTCATTTTTTGTCAGGCTACAAAATCACCGCAGGTCCAAAATATTAAACTTAAAAAGAAAGGAACTAAAATAATTTTGTTTGAGAGACTCAAAATTAAAATTTCCAAAAAATATTCAGATAATATATATATGTGTGTGTAATTTTAGTTTCATAAATTTCAACAGTTTTTATTTTATCTTCATAATTTTAATAATTTAAATTAAATCTTACATTCTAAAATTTCATATAATAATTTATTAAAACATATTAATGTAATGTCATTAATTTATATAAATTTACATATACATATATAATTAAATACAACTAAAAAGTATGTTTTATACATTTTATTTCTTATTTATATATTTAAATATTTTTATACTAATTAAAACTTTTCATGGTTGGATATATATCCGCCTCTGACTGCTAGAATTTTAGAGTTTCTTTACAAACTTTTCTGAAAAAATTATAAAAAAATTTGCAGAAAAACATGTTTCTTGTAAAAGTTTGTTGTTACAGGAAAAACTTTTGTAAGTAATTATTTTTGTAAAAATTAAAATGTGGTAATTTTTCTACAAATTTTAGTAAAAATAAATTTACAAATAATTTCTTACACAAATAGTTTGCAAAAGAATCTACAAAAAATTATACAAACAAATTTGTAGATAAATTTTAAAAGAACTTTATAAAAAAATAAAAAAAAGAACAATATTTCTCATCTTTCATCTCTTACGTTCTCTGATTTTACCTTTTGAGAAATCGTAAATATTTCACTCCCCAGAATTTTGAAAGAAGGAAAGAATCCCGCGCGACAGTGAGAAACCACTGAAACACAGTAACAGTCCTCACAACAGCTTCCATTCCATTCCTCTCAATTTCGTTTCTCATTCGATTCGTTACCGTTCCCAAATTCAGCGCAAGAATGGACGAACCGGAGGCAGTAACCGCAGGGAGAATGCCCCAACCCCAATCTCCCAAATTACGGTTTCCCCTCCCCGCCGTCGACGAAAAACTCGTCACCGGCCTCAGCACCATTCTCGTCGCTTCCATTCAAGAAGCCAAAGACCGAATCTCCCAAATCGAATACGTTTTCTGCTCCCAGCTCTACCCTCACTTCCAATCCAACACCGCCAAACTCTCCCACGAGCTCCTCGCGAAACGACGTCGCATCGAACACCTCGAGCGCGAGGTCGACGAAGGCATGGCACTTCAGAAGAGCCTCATGGAGTTGGTGCAGTCCAAGGAGTCCTCGCTCAGAGACGCCGAAGAGAAGCGGAAAGCCGCTGTTTCCAAATTCGAGAGTTGCGAGAACGAGAAGGCGATTCTATTGGGGAGAATCGACGATTTGGACGATAAGTTGCGAGCGAAATCGCGAGAATTTGAAGAAGAGGCATCAAAGAGGGTTCAAGACGAAGACTCGTATCGGAAGCTGCTTGCAAGAGTGGAATCGTTGACGTGTGAATTGCAGGCTGAGAAAGCGAAGAGAGATAGGGTAACTGAAGCGTATAAGAGGCTTAAGTCTCAGCACATTTATCTTCGCCGAAAGGTTGGTCTCACTGAGGAAAACATGCTTCACGAAAACGAAAATATGCATCAGAGTCCAATCACAGAACCTGGTATGTAAGATGCAAGTTTCTGTTACGAAGGGTTTAATTTATCACGTGTTTTCTTGTTATTTGTCTTCGAAATTATATAAGTGGAGCATTTTAGTTGAGGATTTTAAACAATTTTCGTTAGTTACTACCTTTGTAAATGGCTCTCATTTTAGTTTTTCTTTTGGTGAATTGTTTCGGTATTCTTATGACTGAATGGAAAAAAGAATGGTTTGATCCCGTAGCCCCACATTGGATGGGGAAGAAAAAGCTGAGTATTGGATGGGATAGAATGAATTGCGTTTCATTAGGTTTCATTTCATTCTGTTCTATCCCCTTTGACCAATCCAAGTATAGGCCAACAGTTAAGAGAGACTGTTGCAAAGAGAGATATTCTTAACTTTTAAATTTTTTTGCTTAGTGTTATGTTTTGATTGGAGGGATGTGTAAGGAGACAGGTAACTGGGACAAGTGATTTAATTCTGGCACGAAGCTGCCTTTATCTAGACATTTGCTATGGTTTCATCTTTGTCTCCTTGTGATTGATTGTTCATGTATGACATGTTATTGCAGGTCTCGCATCTGAAAACAATGACATGACTATGGGTGCTTGTGAAATGGCTAAAGTGAAGAGTGAAATCCGAGGGGAAGAAGACGGTGGAGGTAAATTGAGTTGTCATTCTGCTGTCTTTGTTGCTGTAGTATAATGTTTACTCTGCTCTCTTTTTATGAAATAACGTTCACTCTGATCCATCTGCTCGAGATTACATAACATACATAGATTTTATTGTTGACTAATGGTACTATTTGGAGATAGTGAAGTGTATGATTTAGGTCACTTGCTAACCCCTAATTCCACTGTCTACTTTCTATTATTTCAGGCCTTGAAAAGAAAACTCCAGACGTGTTTGTTTCTGGGTGTGACACAAATGAAGTGAAGGTGAAGGTATCAGAGGATGACAGAGGAGCCAATTTGTGTTCTCCTTCTTCTGGATTTCGTGGTAGCTGGAAATGTTCATCCGGTACAAATTTAGTCTCCGTTTCTGGTACAAAGCGGCCTGCATCTTCATGGAGGCAAACCAGTACCCATCATAGTCGATCAGGTCCTGACCCTCATGATGATTTTCTTGACACTCCTCTTGAGAATGTCAGAGAAATTTTAAATAAGGATTTGAATAAGGAAGAGCTGCCACACCCAATTCAGAAAGACATTAGCATGAACAGCTCAGATGATGAAACACAGGATATGAATGCACGAAGCAGTCCCCAGAAAAAGCAATCTTCAATTACAGTGGTCAACAAAAGGAGTTTCAAGTATGTTGAACTAGTGAGGAAGAAAGCTGAGCGTGAAAACTTAAAAGGAGTTGAATGCAAACAATGTAGAAAGTTCTATGATGCTGTTCTTCCTAATGCTGATGGCAAGGATGCTGACAGCAGTAAGCATAATTTCCGCTGTGAGCACCATGATGGTGTTTCTAGACATCGATATAGGTATGTTCCACCCTTGACTCCCGAAGGATTTTGGAATATTGGATTTGAATCTGAAATATAAGAATAGATTTTGGCCGGATTGCTATTGTTTGATTTATGAATAGATTTAATATCCAATTAAACTTTGCCAACTTTTATTTTCTTGTTGGTAAATTTAAAAAAAGGAGTTTACCTAACCTTGGCTATTAGAATGTTATCGACTGATACATGGATCATCTTACAGAGTCATAATGCCAAGAGGCAAAACTTTTCATCGCCAGTTCATGCGTAGGCATACTAAACCCCTTTTGTATTGTCTAATAGTGGTAGATACCATGTGCCTGTGAATTAATAAACTTTATATTCTAACTTACTATAAAAAATTTATCCATTTTATTATACTCTTCTAAACAGTATACTTTTGCTCAGATTTTATTTCTATTTCTTATTTATTTATGTTTGTGTATATTTATATTGTTTTCTGAAAAAGGAAGGAAAGCCTTTAAATTATTTAGTCTCTGGTCTAAACTATTCAGGATTACTGTCGTGAACTTTATTTTTTCGGTCGGGGTAGGAAGGCAGGAGTTTGGGGGATTAGGGAGGGGAGGGGCATCTGAGGGCTAGGGGAGGGGATGGGGCGCACATACCGCACTAGCTACTAACAAGGGACAATTTGTTACAATGATATGTGAATTTTGCAAACTTGAAAATGACATTTTGTTACAGTGCTATGGATTCTGTTGAATGAATTTGTATCAATCAATGAAATTTGGGCCCTCAACGCTAGCCAAACCTGTCAAGCTGGCTTGTTTACCTGTTAAAATTATGTGGATAGAGCATAGAGGCCCAAAAATCTTGACCCATCTAAAGCTTTATACTTGTAACCTTACCACCTCAACTGACCAGTTGGCCAATTCAATTCCTTTAAACAATCCTAGTAGTAACACGACAATAAAGCAGAATACAAACTATTAGGATTTGTTTGATGCACGAAATTGAAATTTTGTGTTTATAATTGTAATTTCAATTTTAATTCTGTTGGTTGGAAGTATAATTCTAAGTTGCATTTTAATTCCATATTGAAAACTCTAGCTAACTAGGAGTAGTTATGAGCAAGATTAAATTGAGGTTGAGTAGAAAAAATTGATCTACTTGTGTGGTGACAATAATGATGGTGATGGTAGTTGATTATGGGAGTGAAAGTAGTGATGGCTGTAGTGGCAAAGATGATTATTGGAGGTGGTGGTGGCAGAAGCAGTTAATAGTAATATTAGTGAGTCTAGTGACAATGGCAATGACAGTGGTGGAGACAATGAGTTCCGGTAGGTGCAATGCAGTAAGAGTGATAATGTTAGTAAGAGTGGTGTTAGTAGTAGCAATTAAGGTTGTTAAACTCATGAGTTTTGTAAACTCGTGAAATGTCTGTAAACACAAATCGTAAACTTGTAAGAGTTTACCTCATGTAAGAATAATATTTAAAACTCATAATAATGAAATAAAGTTCAATAATAAAGTTAGAATCATACTTAAATAGCCAAATCATATAATGATAATGTGATTTTGGTGGCATAATTATAAATGCGATGTTTCACAACTTGTGGAAAGGGAAGAAAAGTGGTGCTGTCATTCCAAATAATAGTCAAATCATATAATGTTAATGTATTTTTGGTGCCATAATTATAAATGTGATGTTTCACAACTTGCGAGAGGGAAGAAAAGTGGTGCTCACATTCCAAATGGTGTTATTTTGGTGAAAAAAAGGTAATTTTGCCTTTGTTTTGTTACACAAGTAAAATCTGGTGTAAACTCAACAGTTTACCCGAATTTATCCAAAAACGAGTTTACGTGTGATTTGACACGATTTCCTTATCTAAGATTGCAGAGTTTACAAGTTAAATCGAGATTTTAACATCCATGGTATTAATAGCAATTGGAGGTACTGGTAGTGGTGCGACTTGTGGGGGAGGGGGCTTTAGGCAGGGGCAGGGCAAGAGTTGTAGAAAAAGAGAAAACGGCTATCCAAGTGTGGGGGTGAGATTAAGAATGGTAATTGAGAATAAATTTTAGGAATAACATTGCTATTTCATACGAATATTCAGCTTGAAGAATTTAATAGACAATAAATTAAAAAGGTCTATTTCAACAACTGATGATAAGAGAGAAAAAAATGTCATAACAAAAATCAACAGAGTAGTAGGAAATACATGGGTATGAATATTGTCTTTGTACCATTATGATTTTTTCTTTCTGAAGTTAGGAAACATTAGTTTTAGTTATATTGGTATTTTATGAAATTGCATCTTAGAATTGCAATTCCAATAACACAAGAACTTCCCAAACGTTGTAATTACAATTTCAAATTCTAATTCCAATTTCAAGCCTCATTTCCATACCTGATTTTGTACACCAAACAAATACTTGCAGAATTTCTAAGACTAGAAGATTTCTAGGTCTTTGGTGAACCAGTCCGTTAGCTTGTCAAGCTCACGCTTAAATGGGCTGGGCTAGAAAATTTAGCCCATTTTCTTAATGGGATGGGGTGGGACTGGTCTGTTTTGTGATGAGCTTTTGGTGGGCTGGGATGGCAATTTTGACATCAACTATGTTTAACACAGGTAGAATGAAACCAATTAGGGGAATTTCTTTTTGCAGCCCTGTTTTTCCTATTTGTTTCTTTTTTGAGGTTTTTTTCAAAATAAAATTCTGGAAGTAATTTACTACTCATTTTTGTAATTTAATTTACAGAAGAGCGCTAAATACATTCTAAAAATTAAATTCCAAAAAGATGGTTTGGAAATCACTTCGAAAACTTAATTTCCAAAAGAGTGTATTTTATACATTCTAGAATTAAATTTTCATTAAAAAAGGTGTAAAAAGAAATCCTATGACTAGTGCGTTAAGCTTGAAGAAGGGTAGGGTGCTGGACCATAAACAAATGGTTGGGTTGTACGGCGGTGCTAAATTTTAGTGCATTTCAAATTCCATTATGGTCCTTTGCTATTTTTTGAGTTGTGAAACATTGTTGCATCTCATCAGCCGAACTTCTAGCTGGAGCTTTGTTTTAAAATCCTTAAAGGATGGACCAATTTGTCATTGCTTTCACCTGCATTATGTGCATTAGTATTGCCTTCTTTAAAAACAGGGATGAAAATAAGTTAGGTTAGATTATAATTTGTATAAATAAACTTGACCTATTTAATAATTTTAAAACTTAAGTATGATATATTATCTGTTATAAACTTTTTATTAAATTTAACCTTACTTTTTTTGAAGTGTGTTGTGGCTTATTAGTTCTTTTAATGGCTTATTTTATATTAAGACCATTGATAAGTCATTAAAATTTTTTATAAATAGGTTATTAAATCATTCAAATAAGAATTTTTTTATAAAAGCTATAAGACATATTTTAAATAAGTAATAAAAAAAGTAGTTCAACGCTTTGAATATGTGTAATAAAATTAAATGTTTTTATTTAATTAAATACGTATTGAGATAGTACAAATGTAAATCATGTGTAAAAGATATATCAAATAACAGTAATACAAAATAGTTCATTAAGTATGACTTTCTCTTTTAGAAGATACGAAGTAAGAAAACTTTCAACTTTAAAAAAGTATTAGGGTTTATAATTATTTTATTTATTTTAAAATTTAATTTATTTAATATATTATAAATTTCAAATATGTCTAATAGATTTTTTTTTAAGTTCAAATTTGATTTATTTAATTAATTAAATTTTTTAAAAGACTTAAATTAAGCATATTACTTAAAAAGTTTAAACTCTTGTCATAATAATGATAAGTGAATTTAGTTTTTTTTTTTTTGAAAAAAAGCAGACCTGGGTCTAGTGCAGTTCTCACGGAAACTACATCGTGCATTTAAGCAAAAATTTACATTTTTGCTTAAATAAAAATACATAGACTTAAATAAAAATATAAAAACACGTAAAAAAATTTGGCGACCGAATCCAGATCCGGAAAAAGCTAACTCAGATAGACCAAAACACGGAATTAAAGGTTTTGGGTTCGGTTAGGACTAAAAAGGTTAAATAATTACAATGCCCGTGAAGGGGTGAATGCATGGGACAAATTGCGTAGGCTTTTTCACTTTTGAGGTTGTAATCATCAACCAACTTTCTCCTGACCACTACTGGACATGATAGGAATCGCATTTTCTGTTGCCAAATAGAAGACGCATTTATTCCCATTTAAAATTTTACAGTTGGGAAAGCCTTGTTATCACCTCGCTTCCTCCTTCTATACACCATATCATGACAACTTTTAAATATAGCGCCGAAATCATTCACCAACCTTAATTAGAGAACGGAATGTGCTAATGAGTTTACATGTAATTTTAGTCATGTTTAGAACAGAGACAGATAAGATAGGCAATGCAAGCTGCGAAGATAATCTTAATTCAAATTAAGTAGGAAAAGAAGAAAAAATAACCTACTGGCAACTCGGGAAATGTAAAAGGAAGGGAAAGGAAATGATGAACAAGAGTTACGGAGTCTTTTTTTTTTTTCTTTTTTCCCTTTTCCCTCCTTTTCCTTTGGGTTTAGGGAGTAAAACCAACAGAAATCATCCACATGCTGAGGGCCACCAAAAATGTGGGCGTTAGCGAGGTGAGGGGCGGTGCGCACATTTTTGCAAGAAAATGAGGGGGCCAAGTTTACTTTGTGGTAGATGGTAGGTGGAGTTTGGGATACATGATGCTTGACGGTTGTGCAACCATTTTTGTTTTCAATTCTTGATCTTATTTTACCTGTTCCTGGACCCTCCCACTCTCAACTTTGTTGTTGAGCTTAAGCCTATTTGAATGGTATAAAGATTTGCTTTTAGTTAATTTTATATGGACGGTATGATACACATAGCATGTGCCCCCAAAGTGGTAGGGGTCGCTGCATTATTCTATTTTATTTCACTTTTCATTGGTTTTCAGGAACCTAAAATGGCAGAGTAGTGATAATTTTATTTTATGGATTTTACAAATTATTATGAATGCACCATAATTCTTTCGATAAATTTTAGGAACAGAAGAAAGTAACTATAAAAATGGGTTTACAATTTAAAAGTTGATATCCATTAAAGCGAATATATTTTTTTGGTAAAAAGTTTTTACACAGTGAATTTGATTTCTTTAAAGTGAAAGTTAACATGAGAGGATGGAAAGTTGAATGACTATTGGAATCGGGATCGGGGTTTTGAGCATAAAGATTCCACTCACTATTAAAAAATGGACTTAATCCTCGGGAGTGTAGCAATACACCACAATTATTTCTGAAAAATTAGTTGTTGAGATTATAATAAAATGCATACTTGTGTGTACCAAATCATGAAATTGTTTAATATCAACCGTTACTTTTCAAATCAACGTTTATAATTACACTTTATTGTTTTGGAGTAGATTTTGAGGAGTTATATTCAGCATTTGTAAAATTCAAGTCTTACTATTCTTTTTCTATAGAAGTAGATAACGAACTAAGAAAAACTAACGATACTTCCTTGGAAGGGAACATACGACTAAAGTATGATATCTTAACTATAACTCTTGTAGACCAAAACAAAATAAAAATTGTAGAGTGCGAAGTTTGCCTCAACATAGGTTGACTCTGGTTTGGTGAGAGACAAACTTGATTCCATTTGGTATAACCTCTCGAGATCTATTTAATTATCGTTCTCGTTAAAGAAAAGCTATTTACATGAAAATTGTTTTGTTTAAAAGGTCCAAATTTGAAGTGACACTAAATTACAAATCTGTACTGCTGAAGCATGGAATGACAAATTGGAAATATTAAATCTATTAGTCCATTTACGAACAAATTATAAACTTGTCTAAATGGGATGGACTTTGATGGTGAATGAATGGGATCATAATCCTTCCAAATGGAATCATAATCCAAATCTATCACGTTGTCCAGCTCTGAAACTCACATGCAACTCAGAAACCCACATGCAAAGCAACACTATTCAGAACTTGCTTGACCTACGCACACTTGTTTGCACGTGCTAGTAGAAGTATGCAGCATCTGGTCTCCATTACTTATCCATTTCAACTCTAGGCCCTATAATATATTACATCACAAGACAAAAACTATAACATCAAATTCAAAATCACACTCGACTTTCACTGTTACCAAATAATTATATCTTGGAATATTCACCAACAACCCGATACTTATCCGGGTCGCCCTCAACAAGCCTTCAACGGGTTTCCACACAAACAGTCATTGTTACTAAACGACGCCGCATCAATATGATCAAACGGAGACCCAATTGGGATTGTTCCACATAGGTGGTTGAAGCTAAAATCTAAATGCCCCATGAACTTGGACGATGATAACGAACCGGGTATCTTACCCGAAAAGTTATTAAACGACAGATCAAGGACCATGAAATAAGAATCTGACCCGAAAACATCGGGTATGGTACCCGAAAACCCATTTCGGCTCAGGTTCAGGATCCCTATACCCTTATTGCCCAGCAAAGTGGAAGGTACTTCACCCGACATAGAGTTACCATCCAATTTCAGCGTAGAAAGAACCTTCATTTTTCCCAACTCGACCGGGATCGAACCGGCCATCCGGTTCAATGACAAATCTAAATCTGCAAGCCGGTTCATTCTCGATACCGACTCGGGAATCGAACCAGTGAGTTGGTTCCGGCTCAACAAAGCGCGACTCAGCATGGCGAGTTTTCCGAAATCGGAGGGTACCTCACCCTCGATTCGGTTGTTGCTGAGGTCGAGGTGCATGAGTCCGGCGAGGTCCACGATCGATGCCGGAATAATGCCGGATATGTCATTGTCGGCGAGGTTTAAAACGGCTAGTTGCTGGAGCTTCCCCACGTCGGCCGGAATCTCGCCGGATATTTTGTTCCCGGCGAGATCGATGATTCGGAGTGAGGAGAGCGAGGCAACGCATGGGGGGATCTCTCCGGAGATGGCCTTCCAGTCGGCGACGACCAGCGTGGTGAGGTTGCCCAAGTTGCAAATCTCCGGCGATATTTTACCGGTCATGTAGCCGGAGCGGCGAAGCTTCTGGAAGATTGGGTCTTGGGACTCGCCGCGGAGGTTAATGTCGGTGACGCGGTTGGTGGTGGGGTTGCAGCTGACGGCGTACCAGCCATCGCAACAGTTGATGCCCGACCAGGTGCGGAAGATGCCCAAGTATGGTTCGGTCAGGGCAGTTTTGAAGGCCAAGAGTGCTGCCCGTTCTGACGGCAGGCAGGGGCTGACGGCGGAGATAACGGCGAAGAGAAGCAACGTTTGGAAGAAGAGTGAGGAAGCCATGTGTTTGTGTTGTGTTGAATGGTATGCACTGAAAGAGTGTGTTTGCATTTGCATGGGTTTCATTTATATATACTATACGTGTTTGGTGAATAAAAAAGTATAAAGCACCTCAAATATCATTTGCATTTAGTGAGTGGTTTGCACATGCCACATGCATATGCTGGGGTTTAGTCAAGCCTTTCAATTATTATACTCATCATTTATATTTTATTTTCAGGTATCTTTAATATCTCAAGCTATCTTTACCTTCTTTTCTTCTCCATCAAAAACACTTTATTGTAACCTAACTATAACCATTTACACACTTTTTTTTATGTTTCTGAAATAAATTTTTGATGCGCTTAATTTTTCCTTTTAAAATTACCATCATTATTACTAATTATTGATTACAATGTGAAAAGGTGGAAAAATAAACATATTTAATTTTAAATATATGATTAACTTATATCAGCATAAGTAACTATTGTTGTTCCTTTATATTTAATAATTTTATATTAAATATGATTTTTATCTATTTATTCTTGAATGAAATTTCATATTATTCAAATTATTTATGCCATATAAAAATCGAATTACAATAACAGGATAATCAAATAATTATATATATAACCTTTTTTTTTTATTAGTACAAACCTAGCCAGAAGCATAAATAATCATCTAAATTACATGACAATAATAAAATTAATAATATGGCATGATAGAATTGCAGTGATAAAAGGATGGAAGTATCATGAATAGAAAAAAGAGATGGTCAGATAGAAGAAAGGTAAAAAAAAAAAAAACTATCCGAGGACTCCCAACTCCCTTGTCATTGTGTTTTTGCTCTAAAAGAAGTTTGGTTAAGTTATCCTAATCTCTTTAAGCTCCTATCATAAGTAGACATGTCAATATAAGTTATAATTCATAGCCTATCTCACTTAACTTAATGTAAAATCATTTTTTTTTCTTAAGCTCTGTAGTTAATGGACATAAGTAAAAATTAAAAATATGTAACTTAATTTAATAATAAAATTTTATTAATAATAATAATTTATTCTAAATATTTAATATTATAAAAAATTAATTTTATTTATTTATTTTTTGAAAATTTTTATTTATTTACACATTTATAATAAAAATATATTATATAAAATAATTTTTTAATGAATTATTTCATAAAATAGTATATAATCATTTATCAAAAATAAATTTAATAATATTTTAAATATAATTAACTAGATTAATCTAGCCTATTTACTCTTATGAACTTTTTTAATTCTAATCCGCATAAATTAGTGAAAATTTATCCATTTAACAACTCTAATCACCAGCAGGTTTGAGCTATATCAACTTGCATGCGTTAGGACTGCTTGCATTAATATCTTCCAAATGCAAGGCGGCATCCTTTGTATGAAGAAAAGAAAACTTAAATACTTTTATTTTTTTGTATGCATATACATGTCTTATTTTTTTTTTAAATGTTATTTATAAGATTGAAAATTAATAATCTATTTTGTATAAAAATTTAGTCCATTTTTTATTCTCGACTATTAACATAGTTAATACATAAATTAAATTTGTTGAAAGAATTTAGAATGTTATGAGTTTTAATGCGTTTGAACTTGTATTAATTTTTTATTTGAATTTATTTGTCAGGTTAAATATATTAATTATTTTAACAAAAATATTATAATATTAAAATAAAATAGTTTTTTATAATATAATATATTAGAATGAAATTTCTGAAAAATTAAATCTGAAAAAAGTTAAAAGTGAGTTAAAACTGGAAATAACTTTAATATTTTAAAACCCATTCCACTTAAACATGTTACGTGCATGTGGGTTTACAGTAGCCAAATGGACAGCTTTATTGACAACAATACAAGTGGGTTCTTTTTAATATTGATTTATATTTTGTTTGTGGAACTTTAGTGTATCAATGATTATCACACTTGATGTCCAAGATTTTATGATTAAAGGGATTTACCTTAGTCGAATTCCCTTGTAGCCAGTGGTTTGGGGTTATGAAATTATTGCATGGTTCTATGATGGACAAAATATTTGCACGATTATGATCATCATTAGAGAAATTAGCTTTTGCTATGCTCCCATTACGATTATATAAAATGACATGACATTCAAACTTTTTCCTTTTTTAAATATATATTTGTTTGTAACCCTTGCCATTATTGATAGGTAAATTTCACAGTATGATAATATCAATGCTGCAGATCACTTATTATCTGTTGCTATATTCAATATGATTGATCATTCTTAAAGGAAAGCATTTTAAAGATTTATTCAAAATAAGATAACTTTTATATTGTGTCACGTGAATTTTATGTTATTTAAAATTAATTAGTGTATAGCTATTAATTTGTAGGCGATCGATTTTCTCTAACAAAAGGGTGTCATAGAATCATAAATGGCTCTCATAAAATAAATTAAAAAATCACACATATGGAACTCTAAGCAAAGAACTGAGAAAGTTTTTCAATGCTTATGCAGGATAGAAATTTACAGAAAGAGCCCGAATGAGTTCAACAAGTTTCTTATAAAAGTTGGCTAAAAGAAAACAACATTTGTTATTTGTAAAATTGATTGAGAATAAGCATTAAAGCCCTTATTATGTCCTTAAGATAATTATCTCCACTTAACAATATTATGACCATTATTACTGACGCATCATACATTAATGTTGCAGGGTGAAAGAAAATATAAAATTCCGCTAAAGTATTTGAATTTGAACATAGACTTGAATGATGGAGCCGTATTTAAAGATTCAAAGTAAAATATACTAACAACTTTAATTTATTATAATTATAAATATAGGTAAGACAATTTTGATCATTGTTTATTTTAATTATGCTGTTGATACTTTAAAAATATATATAATTATGTGTTAAGAAAAGTGTTGTAAATTTTTTTTAAAAAGAAAATAATTTGTGTAATATAGATTTGAGTTATATAACATACGTATGATAGAGTAGCCATACATGTGAGAGCTTTGAAGATATATCTAAATACAAATTTGAGATTTTAGATAATTTATTTAAGATAAGAATATATGTGTTTTTATATGTATTCTCCTTTAAGAGTGACAATATTGGACTTTTTTTTTTCTTTCCTTATTCAATGAAAGTTTATTTTTATTAGTCACTCCATTAAAATTGTAAGTAATTTTTCTTGTTTTTATTTATCTTTTTATTCTCTTAATCTTATCATAAAAAGTTGACTAAAAAGTATCAATGAATATAACTACTATTTTGTTTTATTTTAAGGAAAGTTTTACTTGAGTCGTAACTTCTTACCATTTTTAGCATACTTTTTAAAAGTCTTGTTATTAATTTTTGTCATATTTAACAACTAAAATATATCAGGATTTATATTAATATTTTACTTGTATTATTTCAAGAAAATATTTACTAAATCTTTCTGCCAACGAATATAAATACATATATTCAAGGTTGTCCTAATTAAGTTATTTTGAAAGAAGTAAATCATCGGCTTGTCATATAAATATGTGATATCATTTTTTTTTATAGTACATTAGCTTAAGAGGTGTCAATTAACATTATTTTTAAAAATTTATTTGTCTCAAGATACTATGAAAATTCTTCAGGATACAAGAAGGTATTTTGAGATATTAACTAAAAAAATAGAACAAATTTTAAGATAATTTTTTTAACCAAAAATATTATCAAAAAAGGAAAGGAATAATCCATTAAGTAGAATAAAATTTATTTCTATAATATAATTTTAAAATATTGAAATAAATATTATTTGTAACGTATAATTTATAATGAATAACAATCATACAAAAATAATTTTAAAAAATAAGTATAAATTAATTAGAATAAATATTACAGTTAAAAATAAAATTAACCAATTAGTAACACTCATTTAATATAATAATTTTAAAATTATAAAAAATATATTAAATCTTTTGAAACATCTAAACAATTTATATATATTCATTTCCCCAAAAGAAAAATATCTAAACATGAAGGACTCTTTCTTAATCTTAACTTCAGCTATGAAAGGCCATCATATGGGTGATTATATTCCACCAGAAGAAATTAAGAAGTTCTTAGCTACCTGTAACGATGCAGCAGCTTATAGAAATCCAAGGGAGAGTGCTGAGATGGCTAAAGTTCAGGTTGACCAAAAACTTTTCTGAATTGCATGAATTGTTATTGTGGAATGTTATGTTATTGGTGATTACTTCAGAATTTGAATTTGCTGTAAGATTTTGTCTTGTCTGTCTTTAATAATATTTTTATATCTATTGTGGATAATTACATATATATCATGATATTCATATATTTTTTATTTCTTTCTTGTGCTAAGAATCATAATAATCTTATTTCTAAGTAAAGATATAGGCAACTCTAGGAGGGATTTTGGATCCTATCATGCCATGTGATGTCTTTGAGTTACTTTGATGTTGTAACTGTGTTTGAGTTCCAACCATATATTTAGCTAACAAAGAACAGCATTTTTACTGTTTTGAGCCTTAATTTTTTGGGTCATTAGGCCTTTTTATTTTTTTCTAAACATGTTAATTTATTGTAGGTGTTTTCTTTCTAATCTTCTGGGCCGAAGGGGTTTTGACTCTAAGGATCTTATCCCAACAACTTTGTAGCCCTTTGTTAAATCTGACAGATGTGGGTTCATTGGTTCTAAAGATTGGAGTTTGTATAGTTTTGGGCCACATTTCTACTAATCACAATATGCTACATTATATCTTGAAATTGTAATTATTCTTTTATAATTAGTTTAAACATTAAATTATATTTTAATTTATTTAATGTCATTGGAGAAAATTATTCGGTAAAATTTGTATATATACATTAAAATTCTTAGTTTCATTATTATCATTTGAATGGAAATTATATTTAATATTATATACAATTGTCTGTTATTTTTTTATCCTTTGTATATAAATATACATCTCAAAATCATAATTTATCCTGTTGCCTTCTTACGGATAAAAGAAGAGTTGTTTAGTTCGTAATCTG